ATGTAGGCTAATACTTTACGTGACGAGGAATATCACAGACAGGTAGGCTGATACTTCTTGTGACGGGGAATGATATCACAGACAGGTAGGCTAATACATCATATGACGGGGAATGATATCATAGAGAGAGTTATGTAGACTAATACTTCATGTGACGGGGAATGATATCACAGACAGGGTATGTAGACTAATACTTTATGTGACGGGGAATGATATCACAGACAGGTAGGCTAATACTTCATGTGACGAGGAATGATATCAGGCAGGGTTATGTAGACTAATACTTCATGTGACGGGGGATGATATGGCAGGCAGGTAGACAAATATTTCATGGGACGGGGAATGATATCACAGACAGGTATGTGTAGGCTAATACTTTACGTGACGAGGAATATCACAGACAGGTAGGCTGATACTTCTTGTGACGGGGAATGATATCACAGACAGGTAGGCTAATACATCATATGACGGGGAATGATATCATAGAGAGAGTTATGTAGACTAATACTTCATGTGACGGGGAATGATATCACAGACAGGGTATGTAGACTAATACTTTATGTGACGGGGAATGATATCACAGACAGGTAGGCTAATACTTCATGTGACGAGGAATGATATCGCAGGCAGGTAGACAAATATTTCATGTGACGGGGAATGATATCACAGACAGGTATATGTAGGCTTATACTTTACGTGACAAGGAATTTCACAGACAGGCAGTCTGATACATTTTTTGCGACGGGGAATGATATCCATAGGCCAATACTTCATGTGACGGGGAATGATATCACAGACAGGGTTATGTAGACTAATACTTCATGTGACGGGGAATGATATCACAGACAGGGTATGTAGACTAATACTTTATGTGACGGGGAATGATATCACAGACAGGTAGGCTAATACTTCATGTGACGAGGAATGATATCAGGCAGGGTTATATAGACTAAAGATTCATGTGACGGGGAATGATATCGCAGGCAGGTAGACAAATATTTCATGGGACGGGGAATGATATCACAGACAGGTATATGTAGGCTTATACTTTACGTGACAAGGAATTTCACAGACAGGCAGGCTGATACATTTTTTGCGACGGGGAATGATATCCATAGGCTAATACTTCATGTGACGGGGAATGATATCACAGACAGGGTTATGTATACTAATACTTCATGTGACGGGCAATGATATCATAGACAGGGTATGTAGACTAATACTTCATGTGACTGGGAATGATATCACAGACAGGTAGACTAATACTTCATGTGACGAGGAATGATATCAGGCCGGTTTATGTAGTCTAATACTTAATGTGACGGGGAATGATATCACAGACAGGTAGACAGATATTTCATGTGACGGGGAATGATATCACAGACAGGTATTTGTAGGCTAATACTTTACGTTATGAGGAATATCACAGACAGGTAGGCTGATACTTCATGTGACGGGGAATGATATCACAGACAGATAGGCTAATACTTCATGTGACGGGGAATGATATCACAGACAGGTAGACTCATGTTCACACGAAGTCGAGGGAAGTGCAATGTTATGTTGTCTTCTGATCTCACCTCCATGTCCCATAGCGATGGTGTATGCCAGGCACACGGCGAGAACACAGGTTGCGAGGAGGAATCGAGCCATATCGACCTTCTAGAAACAATAAACACAAAGTCAGCAAAGATGGTTTCTTCTTGATCGATGACTTCAAGGAACTGACCATCATGTCAGAGGTGAAACTACGACACAAAATGTGTAATTGCTATATTACAGTTCACTATAATTTAGCGTCTTGAAAATATTAGATGAAGTTGTAAATTTTGCCCTAACATTTGAACGAAATCATCTCAAACACCCATTTGCACAGATTGACTTTATGGGTTATTATTTCTCAAGTAACTTGGGAAAATAAACGAATAAATAAATAAATTCTCATGATACCCTTTTCACGTGACAAGTCACGCCTTATTGTGCGGTGACTTGCACACTTCTCTGACCTCCACATAAAACGCACGAGAGAAAAAATAATTCTGCTCAACTCTTTATTCAAGTACGGTATCAAATTGAAGGAGCTGAAATTCAGTATCAATGTTTAAGAAATAGCTATATGTTTTAAAGGTTATATCGATTCCCAGAATGGACCAGGTGGGATTAGGTCCCTTTCTGTCCCACTAGACTTGTCAAATTATGAGTGAGTGAGTGAATTGGGTTTTACGCCGCTTTTATCAGTATTCCAGTTATATCACGGCGTGTCAGCTTAATGTTGGAGGAAAGCCCGAAGTGATGCAGGTCTCAGACGTTTACCACTTCGGTGAAACCCACGAGCACGGGTATGGTGCTGACAAACCTAGAAACATAATCGGGGCGAACCGGGATTCGAACCCACAATCATAGGTTTCTGGCGTGCCCAAGGGACGCAACTCTGCACAGCGAATCGCGGCGCCTTAGACGACTGGGCCTCCCGTGCCCCCGTCAAATTATGAATGAAATGTTATGATAATTATCAGACATGTTTAAATGGTTGACTTGTGGCCTTTTTTCTTTCTTACACTTGCAGGCTTTTGACCTCTGACATATTCAAGTACATGGGAATGGCTAAAATGAGGGAAAAGGCGGATTGTTTTTAACGTCATGAGAAAATCCAAACATGATGAAGTTCGTGTGTCTGCATCTACATCAGCTTGGGTCAAAGACTTGCTGATGTTCAAATGTAGAAAAAATGTTTCCTGAAAAAAGTTTTGTTGTCACAGTTGAGTTTAATCTATACATTTGTTAGTTGTTATTAGTCCATAACATGCAGTTGGTAAAATGATCTACGTCTACTCTCATGCATATGAACATATCTGATATTTTACACGACAATTTCTATAAGTTGAGCTCATTTTTTAAATTATACAGATCATGTGTGCCACATTTGGGTAGGCACTTATCATACATTGAGCTTTCTGAAACACACACGCATTTAAAACAGACACTACATGCATATAACAAATGAGACATACCGAACTTACAAATGTGCGTCTAAGTTCGAGTCTTACAGCCAAGTGCAGGTGCACATAGAGGGGCGTCCTTATGTACATGTGGTCGGTAACAGGCGATGTGATCAGTAAATCTTAAAGTGGCTCCAAAAGCGCCTAGGCCTATTATGAACTTGTGTCACTTCTTTATCAGACGTCAATGAAGCCAAAGTGAGAATTAAGGGACTGACGAAATGCATAACTTTAGTATGGCTGCGAAATTTAGAAATGATCTTTAAATACCTCCATACAGGTAATCTATACTTGAGCAAATGAAGGTTTCTAATAATTGCAAATTGTGGCCACGTTCGGGTTAAATATCAGTGATTTCTTAGTGGGACTGACGAATTGTGCAACCGCATTGTAAATGAAAAACAGCGCCTAAGAAATGGACTTATTTTTATTCTCATCTGGGGATGGGAGGTGTATGGATCTGTTTGGGTCCTTATAATAAAGAATAAAAATACATTCTAGTTATAAAATTCTCGTGTGTTTTGTCAAGTACCGACCTTCCACCTTCCAACCGCTTCTGTCCAATAGACATTGTGTCATCACACAGACCCCGACATTGTGGGTACATGTGGTGGCGGAATAAGTTACGACATGGTGTGCATTGTGGTTACTATCCTTTTTAAGAAAAATTTTACACATTAAACTGCAAAAGACATTTTGATCTGTGGACGATTGCGAGAGGCTTAAGCCCGCTTGTTAGCAGCATTCAGCCACATTAGGTTGTGTCACACAGTGTTAGCTTCACACTTATACCCAAGTGTGCCATCAATCAACGTTAACCAGGTGATCACTTCGATCTCGAAGCTACCGGAACAGAAAACAGTGAACTTGTGAGGCAAAAAGGGCATACTGTATCCGTGGCATTTTTTTCACCTGCACGTACGTAACGTCAATCCACCTGAAGACAGTCTTTATCAAACGACATGGAAAAGGATGACCGACTGAGTGCTGAGGCCTACACGTGGAAACTGTTACCCGTATATTCTGAAGTGCATCATTTTCGCGAGTCACGCTTCCACAGACACAGCAACGCGAAAGCTCCCGCCCTTAAACTAAACAAATCCAAATTGTTTTCAAGTCAGCGTGCTAAAAATTGTTATTTAAAAATCTTACTTGAACGAAGCATATTTCTATTTTTGTTCTCTGTAGATGTATAATAAAGTGAAGTTATTGAAAACTGATGACTGATTCGTATATACATTCATCTGATTATACCAGTTTGAACGTAGTGAAAGTGTTGCTCTGGGTAATGATGAAATGACTGTAGTCTACACATCAGAATGGAAACATAACTCTAATACTTACGTAACTGCTTCTAAGCCACCAAATGCCACGAGGGGTGTCAAGAGGGCTTATATAGGAGTAAACTGGCAACAGGTGACAAGACTCTCAAATTTGAAACCAAACAAATTGACAATGGAAACATGTTCCCAATTCCTCAACGTTCACGGGGAGTAACAGCTGTAATGTTAGCGAATGGATTGCGTGTTCAGGTAAGAGGGAAGTTTATTAGTATCTTTGTTGTTACTCCTGCGCGGTGACTGTGGAATATATATATATATATATATATATATATATATATATATAAATAATATATATATATATATATATATATATATATATTATATATATATATATATATCACACTCGGTTAATAAAGTCCATATATTCTAAAAGCCTAGGCAAGTCAAGATCAATCTAAACTAACTCACACACAATTTTATACTGTAGCAAGCGAAACTGTGCTTTCTGTAACCTATTTATTTTACATTTCAAAGTGATTGATACCGAAAATGATTGAGAAAATTGTTCTTCTCGGTTATGAGGCCGTCAAATCAGCTGTTTCAGTCAGAGAATTATTGTGATTTGAAACTTCTGATTGACCAATCAGAATCGAGTATTCCCCACTTTCATACTAGAGTTGTCGCTCTCAGCATAAAACAAAACAAGAAAGATTCAGGATATGTGTTTTAGATTTATTGCTGAGTTCCACGATCTATCGGAGTAACGTCACAATGACTTCGTCACTGTCTGGTCGTGCAACACGTACATATGGTCTATTCACAAGCTGGAAAAAAAAGAGAAGAAATTTACAATTGGATGTTGATACACATATAACTATAAAATAATGTCCAAATGGAGGTAGAAGTGGAAGTGGCTTTGCATTTTAAACTAATAAGGGGCCGTGGATTGGGAGGTACACTCAAGGACTGTGTGGGAGAGGAACGCGTGGTATTACACATCCAGGTACACTCAAGGACTGCGTGGGAGAGGAACACGTGGTATTACACATCCAGGTACATTCGGGGACAGTGTGGGAGAGAAACACGTGGTATTACACATCCAGGTACACTCAAGGACTGCGTGGGAGAGGAACACGTGGTATTACACATCCAGGTACACTCGGGGACAGTGTGGGAGAGAAACACGTGGCATTAAACATTCAGGTACACTTTAGAGCTGTGCTGGAGAGGAACACGTGGTATTACACATTCAGGGTACACTCTGGGGCTTTGAAGGAGAAGAACACGTGGTATTACACATTTAGGTACACTGAATGGCTGTGTCGGAGAGGAACACGTGGTATTAAACATTCAGGTACACTCTAGGGCTGTGTGGGAGAGGAACATGCTGTATAACACATTCAGGGTACACACTAGGGCTGTGAGGGAGAGGAACACGTGGTATTAGGGTGTGTTGAAGAGAAAACATGTTATGATGGTATTTTGTTTAAAGTTATAGACTTTGAAACTTACCTGGGTCATCTTTGGTGAAACCAATGGTGCCAGACACTGAGCACGTATACCCACAGTTCCCAAAGGTTTTCTTGGCACCTCCTTCGAAACAGTCCTCTCCATGGGCACATTCTGAAAATATTGGTTTATATTCACTCCATGAACCATTGGGGAGCTGAATTATAAATAACCACATACATACCATCAACATAATATCTACAGATATTGATCTTTATTTATCGAGTCTTACATGTGTTTCGCTTGTTTATAAATCGACCGAATAAATGAGGCATTACATGTGTCACTAGCGGAGTGTTCGGGGTTTTACGATCTGGAATAGCTTGTATACCACGAGACGGAATTTCTAAAGCATCTGTCATTAAGTTAGCAAGTTATATAGACCTATTTTTGGTATTTACATCGCTATCGGATTTTAGGATCTTAACTTGACGCTGGACAGGGCCAGTTGTGACGTGACAAGCACGTGTAATCTTCCATTATGACGTTATGACGTTATGACGTATGGGCCGGTCGGTCAACTTGTATATTTTGTGCAAGACGTTGACTGTCCAAGCAGCTAACTAGATTCTTTAACGGACATGTGTTTGAGATGTTTGTTGAGTGAAGATGAATCCTCAGACAGTAGGCCCGACCAGTGCTTGTTATTACAGTTGTATCACATAAAGTGCATGTTAAATTCATTTATTCTTTGACAGTATAAATGTATACATAGAAATTATCAGCGCATGTTATCTGGTGTCATCAGCTCGCTCCTTAAATGACAGCATATTTATTATATCGTGTACCGTAGTCCACATTATATATTTCTATGTACAATAAATTCTCTCTTAGATTTCCATGATTTACATAATGTTTCTAAACTTCTAAAGAGAGTGATACTATCCAGAGGGTGATACTTTATACTCTCTGTCAGTAAGGATAAATGGTGTTACAAAAAAACAACACCTCTTCTAACAGGTCTACATTCCATGTTCTTATTCCCGTTTCCGAGTAACAACTGGTCTGCATATCTTGGACTGATGAACTTACTGGTCGGTCCACGGAGCCCGTAGACGTTACCCTCCACGGAGCATGTCAGTGTGGTGCAGGCGTTGAGTTCAAAGGTTCCTCCAAGTTCTACACATCCACCCCCAGGTTTGGGGCATGCTGAAACCATAGATCACATATCTCTTAAAGTAGCAGCAGCGATCTGAACTACATACATGGAATATCACGATTAATATCACAGTAACCATAAATCTCACTTCCAGCTGAGCGTGGCCTGCCCCATTGGTGCTGGAGCTGTCCATGGGGTAAACATTTACATCGCATGAGGGCGTTTCAGTTAGGAAGCAACTAGTCGTTGAACAATTATTCCTTTAGAACGTTTAATGGTATGCTTATTATCGAGTGGTTGACAGCATGAGCAACATCAGGGGTACGGTGACATTCATTCAGCTATCTGTAGGGCATACAGCGCCAACCTCCCTAAGTCGGCCCTCTACACAAGCGTAGGTGCAAAGGAGAGTGAGAAAATGAGCCAAGTGATCACACGTGAGTTGTGGTGAGAGAGGTCACTCAATAAGGCTGAATCTCGACACTCAGTAGAATATCTATATAGGAACTGTGATTTTGTGAGTGTGTGGTTTATCATCATTTTCTAATTACAAAGGTCAGAAAAGAGAGGATCTTTGGTAAAGTTCACAAACTTTGAGATATTTTTTTGTTTTAGGGGAGAATATAATGACATCATTCTTTAACAGAAACTCCCTCAACGTGTTGAGAATTGTACTCACATTGACTGGATGCGCAGTCACCACCACCACCACCAGGCGCGGCATCACCTGTGAACAAAGTCCATGTTGCACTGATTACAAATGACCCTCAACCGCTACATAGATACAGTCTGCAGACCCGCACTGACAAACATATGATATAATTAGGAGATAAACCTACTGTGTTTTGAAATTTGATGAAGTCCCACTGTAGAGTGAGTGAGTGAGTTATGATTTAACGTCACACCCACTGTAGAATAGAAACCTCTTTATTATAATTTTGAACCGAGCGCTTTATCATAATAAAGAGGTTTCTATTCTACAGTGGGACTACATCAAATTTCAAAACACAGTAGGTTTATCTCCATTCTACCATGACGGCAACAACGCTTTGAAAACGGCGCTCTCTTGCAACGCGTAATAACACAGGTCCGCAATCTTAGAACATTCCGAAAAGTGGTCACAGGTAGTTATATATGTAACAATTATTACTAAAGTTCAAGATTAAAAACACCATAGTCGTGAGTAGTTCATAATAAGTGTTCAAAGCACATAGTTTTTCAAAAGAAGTTGACAAATAACACTCCAAACTTAGTCCAAAGAGTCCATGTTTTAATTTCTACCAAACTGTTATACACTGTGGACTGGCTGTCATTTCTCGGAATTTTGAGAGCTAGGTCATTTCTTGGAAATCGAGCATGCCATCATTTCTATTGTGCAGCAAACTTTATGAATTAACAGAATGAAGCAAGATGACAACCCCGATCTATGATGTGGTTCAACATTAACAGGTAGATTATCTGGGATTGATCGAGGCTGCTTTTACATCCATATGATTACCAATGTGACTGAGTATGACTGAACAACCGCTTTTTAGGCTGCAGACGAGCCGGATATTTTGAAACGAGGAATCTGCAGGGAAAGACCAATTAATTTCAAGATTTCACGGATCCAAAGCCAAATAGTGACAGAACTTAAACATTTTGTGTCCCAGAAATAGTGGATCGTGTATGATTTTGTTAATTGTGTGTGTTCTGAAATGAATTTCATCAAGTTTGATAAGCTGTCACTTCAGTTGGGACATTGTTTTCGTGGACTTTCGAAGGGGAGTGTTTTCTGATGGACTTTGAAATCCCCTCCTGCCAAATTCTAACGGTGGTTGTTGATGGAGATGGCAACGAATATCGATCAGAAAAAGTTTTGTTAACAACATGTTGTCATGAATAAAGTTTTTTCAAACAATGTTATAATGTTATATTTTACTTTCATTGCCGGTTGTTTCAATGAGGAAATAGCTGAAATTGTTCCGATTCTGGTCACCTTAAAAATTTCTCTAACAGTTTCATAAACATTACATTTGTATTCCAAAGATATGCCTTTGATAAATCTTTTAATGTGTCACCATCGAAGCAGTCAGGGTTGCGGCCTAGAACGCCACAAACATCCGATATCAAACTACCTTGACTCGGCGTGTATTAGGGACCTGGCTGGTATTAGAGACCCAGCGTGTATTAGAGGAAATATAGATACGTTTTACAGTTCATATGGGGGTGATCCATCGGCAGCCATTTTCTATGAATCGATATGTAGGCTTCTTGTTTGTGAAAAGGCTGAATATATTTGAAAGGGGTTTCCGTAGCAAAAAGGAAACCTCTTTTTAACCAATCAGAATCAAGCATTCATCAATGTCATGGTAGAATAGACAGGTAGGCTGATGCTTCATGTGACGGGGAATGATATGACACAAGTAGGCTGATACTTCATGTGACGGCGAATGATATCACAGACGTCAATGGTGGAGTCAATGTTGACACGAAATAGAGGGAAGTGCAATGCTAAGTAGCTAATAGATCTCACCTCCATGTCCCATAGCGATGGTGTATGCCAGGCACACGGCGAGAACACAGGTTGCGAGGAGGAATCGAGCCATATCGACCTTCTAGAAACAATAAACACAAAGTCAGCAAAGATGGTTTCTTCTTGATCGATGACTTTCAGGAACTGACCATCATGTCAGAGGAGAATCTACGACACAAAACGTGTCATTGCTAATTACAGTTCAATAATTCACGAATGTTAAAACCTCACTAAAATATAACTTCTTGAAAATATAAGGTTATAGTAATAATATTAATATTACTATAAGTAAGTTTTGCACCAACATTTAAACGAAATCATCATAAACATATATTTGAATAGATTGATGTTCTCAAGTAACTTGGGCAAATAAATGAACAGATAAATAAATAAATCGTCATGATCCCGTTTTCACGTGACAAGTTACGCCTTATCATGATGTGACTTACACACTGTCTAAACTTCCATATGAAACGAACGAGAGCAAAATAATTCTGCTCAACTCTTTATTCGAATACGGTATCAAACTGAAGAAGCTGAAATTCAGTATAAATGTTTAAGAAATAGCTATGTTTAAAAGTCGATTCTCAGAATGGACCAGGTAGGATTAGGTCCCTTTCTGTCCAAACAGACATGGCAAATTATTAAAAAAAGTGTTATGAAAATTATCAGACATGTTAAAATGGTTGAAAACTAGTCTTTTTCTTTCTTACACGTGCAAGCATTTGGCCTTTGACATCTTCAAGTACACAGGAATGGCTAAAATGAGGGAAAAGGAGGATGTTTTTAACGTCATGAGAAAATCCAAACATGATGAAGTCCTTGTGCCTGCATCTACATCAGCTTGGGTCTATCTATCTATCTATCTATCTAATCTATCTAATCTATCTAATCTTATCTATCTTATCTATCTATCTATCTATCTATCTATCTATCTATCTATCTATATTATTTGTTATTAGTCCATAACATGCAGTTGGTGAAATGATCAAGGTCTATTCTCATGCAATATGAACATATTTGATATTTTTCATGATAATTGCTAAAAGTTGTGCTCATTTTATATATCATACAGATCATGTGTTCCAAATCAGGCCCTTATCTTACATTGCCCTTTCTAGAACACACACACACACACACACACACACACGCACACGCACACGCACACGCACACACACACACACACACACACGTAAAATAGACACTACGTACATATAAAATACGAGACATACCGTACTTACAAATGTGCGTCTAAGTTCGAGTCCTACAGCCAAGTGCAGGTGCACATTGAGGGGCGTCCTTATATACATGTAGTCGGTAACAGGTGAGGTGATCATTAAAACTTGAGTTGGCCCTCAAAGCGGCTGGCTTTTCACCTTGTATCACCTCTTTATCGGACAGTAATAAAGCATTGACATTGCTAAGTCACATCTGTAATGAAAATTTAGTGATCGATCATAATTTTGGCTATTGCTGCGGAACAGAAATTATCTTGAAATGCCTCCGTAAAAAAAATCTATATGTGAACAAACGAAGGTTTCTGGTAATTACCACAATTTTGGTTGTGTCTAGTTTTAGTATGAGACTGACGGATAGTGCGCTTTGACCTACCACACAGTGGATGGGGAAACAACATCTAAGAAATGGACTTATTATTATCATCCTCGTTTTATTCCAGGGATAGGGTTATATGGATCTTACTGGGTGCTTATGAAAATACTATAGAAATACCATCTTGTTATTAAATACTCGTGTGTATTGCCAAGTGCCGACCTTCCACCTTCCAACCAATTCCTGGATCGCTTCTGTCTCACAGACACTGTGTCATCATACAGACCCCGACAATGTGGGTACATGTGGTGGCGGAATAAGTTACGACATGGTGTAGTTTGTGGTAACCATCCTTATGAGTAAAGCTTCTTAAACATTAAACTGCAAAAGACATTTTGATCTGTGGACGATTGCGAGAGGCTTAAGCCCGCTTGTTAGCAGCATTCAGCCACATTAGGTTGTGTCACACAGTGTTAGCTTCACACTTATACCCAAGTGAGCCATCAATCAACGTTAACCAGGTGATCACTTCGATCTCGAGGCTACCGGAACAGAAAACAGTGAACTTGTGAGGCAAAAAGGGCATACTGTATCCGTGGCATTTTTTTCACCTGCACGTACGTAACGTCAATCCACCTGAAGACAGTCTTTATCAAACGACATGGAAAAGGATGACCGACTGAGTGCTGAGGCCTACACGTGGAAACTGTTACGCTAGAAGGTAGATAAGTAGATCAACAGATTCTCAAAATCAATTGATTTATGTTGCGTATATTCTGAAGTATTTCAGGGATAGGGGGTATATGGATCTTAATGGGCCCTTATAGAAATACGATAGAAATACCTTCTTATTATTTAAATACTCGTTTGCCGACCTTCCACCTTCCCACCAATTCCTACTGTCTAATAGACACTGCGTCATCACACAGACCCCGGCAATGTTGGTGGCGGAATACGTTAAAATTGGGTGTGCATTGTGGAAACTATTCGTTTGAGGTAAAAACTTAAATATTAAACTGAAAGAGACATTTTAATCTGTCAACGATTGCGAAAGGTTTTCACGGCATATGTCTATATGTCCTATGTAATATCTGCCCCTGACAATACGTTTGACATTACATGTCCCTAACATGTCCCTGACAATCTGCACATGGCAGTATGTTATTCTTGCCGGTGAATTTTGTATGTATTTGTATCTGACAATCGCCACTATCTTACACCTGCCCTAATGATAAAAATATGTAATCAGTGTGATTTGAAATGAGTGCTTCACTAACACCATCTATATATATTGATAAATGTGATAATAGACATACTTTTCACAGAAACAGAAACAACTGAAAAAAGTTTGATGACAATTTATCAACGAAATTACACCTCTCAAAATAAACTGAAATGCATACACCTTAACATCCCAAAAGTGACAGAAGCTTTCACTGTGCAATTATATGGCGGGGAGCGCTTTAACACACCTAGCTTGAAAATAATTAATATTATATGTGTAATAATTTCTAGTTTGTTGCCTGCTATTTTGTAAGGAGTACAAGACTGTATTGCTACTCTGGTTTGCACAGTGACTACACTGGTTTTTACTTTTATTCCCCCAAGAACCTACAGAAGTTAGTATTTAATCTCTGCATGCTTGAATGCCAAGACATGTCATGGTGCTTTACAGATACATATTTGCACTCTTATATATCTGTCCTATGGAAGGTCCAGTCAAGTTATGGTGCTTTACTGAACTATATCTTCACTCTTTAAGCCAAGGCATGTTATGTTCCTGTGCACTCCTGGAAGTCCCAAGATGTCAGATTGTTGGTTGATCAGCAGCGATATTCATTTGGATGAATGATGATTGTGTGGGCGACAAAAAAACCTGGTTGTCCATAGCGTCATGGTGTGGTAGAACCTAGCAGGTTTCAATAGCAATTGTAGAATATGTTTGATATGGGGCGCTTGTGTATGGCACGGGGAGACAAAATGGTAAGTACGTCAATGTGTGACCACAACTAAACCGAGAACAAGAAAACAGAAGAAAACACAGAAGAACACGAACAGATTACGAGAAACATCTGACAGTTTATTACATTAGTTAAGTGAAAATGACTTGAAGCTGACTGGTCTCACGTGGACGTTCTATTCGCAGTCTGAAAAAAAACCACATTAAAACATAAAAGCAGCACAAAAACAGTCACAGTCAGTAAGAGAGTGTATAACGGTAGGACAGACATAAGTCAGCGTTAGTAAGTAATTTGAACACTCAAGACGGTTCCCTGGTGAACGCATGTTGACCAACGTATGACATTTCCTTTGGTTGACCAATGTCCACAAATGTCAGCTGATACCAACTGAACCTCCAGCAGCCTCCAAGTTACTTTAAAGCTAATATGTTTTAATAGATTCAATCATGGATAAGAATATTTGCGTGATTTGGTACAGCTTTTGATCAATTAAACAAAATACGTTATATGTGTATTGTGACGTGTGTCAGGTAATTTGGATGTTGACTTTACATCTATTTGGGTTTCAACAACTGTCTTGTGCCTTATGGCTGAAATATTGCTGAAGCTGAACTAAACCATAACTCACTGTTTAGTATATCAATACTTTCCATAGACTGTATTGAGCAATATTCTGACATACCTATACACCAGAGAAACGTAATAGTTTGTGTACTTCAACACATTTGTGACCATGATACGTGTTGTTGGTAAGTGTTTCCCATTTGGTAAATTATCGGACAAGGGATTGAAAGAAGGCCCTTGTTAGTCGGAAGAGCTCCCAAAAGAGTATTTACTGTGTGACATTATTCAAACCGCTAGAAACATCAGGTCTCCTCAAACATAAATAACATAGAGAAATTACATGGGAAATGTAAACGTAAACATTGTCCAACAATAAAACACTTGTTAATCCCTCTTAGTTTCGTGTTTATATTAATTCCTAAGGCTATTGTGTGTCGCTTCCTGACAGCAATTTGACGTTATTGGCTAGGTTGCATATAGATGTTCTGTGTCAGGTTCTGTCTAATGTTCTTCATGATTAACACTGCTCATCTCAGCCTCAGTCATTTTGCCTCTACTCAAGAAATGTGGGAACATTAAGTTTCTTCAGGTTTTGATATAAAACATATCGTAATCATCATACTGTCGTCGGAAAATGACATATACTTGTAATGGGGTGAAATATAACCATATGGTTTATGATGAAATCTGTAAAATACGCTGTATTAAGTAATTGGCAGTTTTGGAATCAAAATAGAAAAATATCTATGGAGCATCGAAAGAATATTTGAACCATAAACTCTTGATTTGGCACAGCTACGGACCAAGGATCGGCCAGCTGCTACTGAAAGTGATATTGTGTGTGTCAGCACTAAAATCTTTGTCATGAAATGTCAATACTTATTTATGTATCTGGTGTAAGATGGTCAGCATTCCCTGTGGATGATGTGGATGACTCTTTAGAATTGCACCCCCAATATCGCCTCCCGACAGCCAGTATACGTCTACAATCACATGTACATTCGCAAAACGAAATCCTCCACAGAAACCTATCGTGGTTAAAAGATACAGGTTTTATCGCAAGATCTGCAGAACACAATGTTGTTTCCTTGTGCTGGATATTTTACAGGAATTGTATTAGATTTTCACAGGGCTGTTATATTTGTTATAATACATTCAAGGTGGACTGCAGTTAGGGATCTCCACAGCTACAATTTCTGATTCAGTTATACATTCAGGATAGACTGTGGTAGGGGATATCTACAGCTGAAATATCTGATTCAGTTTTAATTCAGGATAGACTGTGGTAGGGGATATCTACAGCTAAAATATCTGATTCAGTTTTAATTCAGGATAGACTGTGGTAGGGGATATCTACAGCTGAAATATCTGATTCAGTTTTAATTCAGGATAGACTGTGGTAGGGGATATCTACAGCTAAAATATCTGATTCAGTTTTAATTCAGGATAGACTGTGGTAGGGGATATCTACAGCTGAAATATCTGATTCAGTTATACATTCAGGATAGACTGTGGTAGGGGATATCTACAGCTGAAATATCTGATTCAGTTTTAATTCAGGATAGACTGTGGTAGGGGATATCTACAGCTAAAATATCTGATTCAGTTTTAATTCAGGATAGACTGTGGTAGGGGATATCTACAGCTGAAATATCTGATTCAGTTTTAATTCAGGATAGACTGTGGTAGGGGATATCTACAGCTGAAATATCTGATTCAGTTTTAATTCAGGTTAGACTGTGGTAGTGGATATCTACAGCTGAAATATCTGATTCAGTTTTAATTCAGGATAGACTGTGGTAGGGGATATCTACAGCTGAAATATCTGATTCAGTTTTAATTCAGGATAGACTGTGGTAGGTGATATCTACAGCTGAAATATCTGATTCAGTTTTAATTCAGGATAGACTGTGGTAGGGGATATCTACAGCTGAAATATCTGATTCAGTTTTACATTCAGGATAGACTGTGGTAGGGGATATCTAAAGCTGAAATATATGATTCAGTTATACATTCAGGATAGACTGTGGTAGTGGATATCTACAGCTGAAATATCTGATTCAGTTTTACATTCAGGATAGACTGTGGTAGGGGATATCTACCGCTAAAATATTTGATTCAGTTATACATTCAGGATAGACTGTGGTAGGTGATATCTACAGCTGCAACTTCTGATTCAGTTATACATTCTGGATAGACTGTGGTAGGGGATATCTACAGCTAAAATATATGATTCAGTTTTAATTCAGGATAGACTGTGGTAGGGGATATCTACAGCTGAAATATCTGATTCAGTTTTACATTCAGGATAGACTGAGGTAGGGGATATCTACAGCTGAAATATCTGATTCAGTTATACATTCAGGATAGACTGAGGTAGGGGATATCTACAGCTGAAATATCTGATTCAGTTATACATTCAGGATAGACTGAGGTAGGGCATATCTACAGCTGAAATATCTGAGTCATTTATACATTTATTTATACACTGTCGATGATAGGTAAGGGTTCATATATTAAACACTTACCTGCGTCATCCTTGACGAAGCCGATTGTGCCAGTGACAGAACATGAATACTGACAGTTCCCAAAGAGCTTGTTGGAGCCCCCCTCGTAACAGTCGGCGCCATGGGCACATTCTGAAAATAAAATATACGATAATGATCTTTTCTTGAAGGTTAAAGCTGGGAAACTGGATGGGAAAAGACCATGGCCAGAAGTTTTAGAAAACATGATATAATCTTAACTACTGGACGCCATGGAGACAGTGTGAAGACATACATGCTGAGACTATAGACGTCATTCAATTGAAAAGACATTTGGCGTCATTGGCATATACTTATACAAAATGAAGTTAAGCATTTTCAATGCTTCGACATGAATTATCAACATATCTGTGAGCAACAACTTGCCTTCAGACGAACGAGTATGATTTTAAAATACTTACTGTAATCGCCCGTAAACCTGAGGTAATTTTTCGAAAATGTGCAGGTGAGAGTTGTACATGTATTGAAGTCGTATGTTTCACCCACTTCTTTACAGTCTCCACTTCCAGTCACACATCCTACAGCACAGAGAGACATGCATGACCACTTGTAATTACACATTTTATAGTATAGAGGGACATACAGGACCACTTGTAATTACACATCTTATAGTATAGAGAGAGATACACGACCACTTGTAATTACACATCTTATAGTATAGAGAGACATGCATGACCACTTGTAATTACACATCTTATAGTATAGAGAGAGATACAGGACCACTTGCCATTACACATCTTATTGTATAGAGAGACATACAGGACCATTTGTAATTACACATCTTATAGTATAGAGGGACATACTGGACCATTTGTAATAACAAATCTTATAGTATAGAGAGACATACAGGACCACTTGTAATTACACATCTTATAGTATAGAGAGAGATACATGACCTCTTGTAATTACACATCTTATAGTATAGAGAGACATGCATGACCACTTGTAATTACACATCTTATTGTATAGAGGGACATACAGGACCATTTGTAATTACACATCTTATTGTATAGAGGGACATACAGGACCATTTGTAATTACACATCTTATAGTATAGAGGGACATACAGGAGCACTTGTAATTACACATCTTATAGTATAGAGAGACATACAGGACCACTTGTAATTACACATCTTATTGTATAGAGGGACATACAGGACCATTTGTAATTACACATCTTATAGCACAGAGAGACATATAGAACCATTTGTAATTACACATCTTATTGTATAGAGGGACATACAGGACCATTTGTAATTACACATCTTATAGTATAGAGGGACATACTGGACCATTTGTAATAACAAATCTTATAGTATAGAGAGACATACAGGACCACTTGTAATTACACATCTTATTGTATAGAGGGACATACAGGACCATTTGTAATTACACATCTTATAGTATAGAGGGACATACAGGGGCACTTGTAATTACACATCTTATAGTATAGAGGGACATACAGGAGCACTTGTAATTACACATCTTATTGTATAGAGGGACATACAGGACCATTTGTAATTAACATCTTATAGTATAGAGGGACATACAGGGGCACTTGTAATTACACATCTTATAGTATAGAGGGACATACAGGAGCACTTGTAATTACACATCTTATAGTATAGAGGGACATACAGAACCATTTGTTGTTACACTTCTTATAGTATAGAGGGACATACAGGACCATTTGTTATTACACATCTTATAGTATAGAGGAACATACAGAACCACTTGTAATGACACATCTTATAGTATAGAGGGACATACAGGACCACTTGTAATTACACATCTTATAGTATAGAGGGTCATACATAACCACTTGTAATTACACATCTTATAGTATAGAGGGACAGATGAGACCACTTGCAGGTACACGCCCTACAGCACAGAGAGACATATAGAACCATTTGTAATTACACATCTTATTGTATAGAGGGGTAGATAGGACCAGTTGTAGGCACACGTCCTACAGCACAGAGATACATACATGACATCTTATTGTATAGAGGGGCAGAGAGGACCACTTGTAGTCACACGTTTTACAACGCAGGGAGACAGAGAGGACCACTTCCAGTCACACGATATACAACATAGAGAGACAGAGAGGACCACTTCCAGTCACACGTTATACAACACAGAGAGACAGAGAGGACCACTTCCAGTCACACGTTATACAACGCAGGGAGACAGAGAGGACCACTTCCAGTCACACGTTATACAACGTAGGGAGACAGAGAGGACCACTTCCAGTCACACGTTATACAACACAGAGAGACAGAGAGGACCACTTGTAGTCACACGTTATACAACACAGAGAGACAGAGAGGACCACTTGTAGTCACACGTTATACAACGCAGGGAGACAGAGAGGACCACTTCCAGTCACACGTTATACAACGCAGGGAGACAGAGAGGACCACTTCCAGTCACACGTTATACAACGCAGGGAGACAGAGAGGACCACTTCCAGTCACACGTTATACAACACAGGGAGACAGAGAGGACCACTTCCAGTCACACGTTATACAACGCAGGGAGACAGAGAGGACCACTTCCAGTCACACGTTATACAACGCAGGGAGACAGAGAGGACCACTTCCAGTCACACGTTATACAACGCAGGGAGACAGAGAGGACCACTTCCAGTCACACGTTATACAACACAGGGAGACAGAGAGGACCACTTCCAGTCACACGTTATACAACATAGAGAGACAGAGAGGACCACTTCCCGTGACACTTAATCTATATCAAACTAAATCGATACGAGGGCCGACGATTCGTGAAATCAATTCAATAATTTCGCACAAGTAATGTTAACATGTTATAAGAGAAGATATTATGTTCATTTAATGTAAAGTATGTTTCTCAAAAATAGAAGGAAATAGTATGAGTGTATTGCACTCGTTTTCAGAGAGGTAATACTTGCACCTGAGTCATACTATTAGTCCTCAGCAGACTTTGATATTAAGGCGTAAACACAGCTCAATCTACCAAGTACACTTACTCATTGTACCCCGGAGACCATAGATATTGTTCTCCACTGTGCAGGTGAGGGTGGTACAGGAGTTTAGGATGAAGGCATCACCAAGGGCAACACATCCACCACCCGGTGCAGGACAGGCTGCAGACAATATAAGGCAATTAAGGGTAGACCCATATACATCATCACAGTGAAACCTCGATAATCCGTGCTGCAGATTTGGACGGACTAACGAATGTATTGATAAACGAATCACGGCGAAACGTCCGGAATATGTTTCACTGTTATGTTGTTTATAAATGTCGAAGACGTTCGTGTATGACAAGTAAACCGTGTTCGAACATACACGAATACAAGATATATTAACAAATGCGTTTGAGTAATCTCAAGTCAAGATAAAATACAGACATAATTGTAATAGGCAGTTTTTACTTTTGCTGTTGTTTTTTTTAACGGAAGTTTTATTTGTTCATCCAACTCTGTACAACAACGTTAATGAAATCCATTGATCACATTTCTTGGTCGTCCATTTTAGATTTGAAAAAGGCCGACCTTATCAACTATATTCAAATTTCCAATTTTATTCAAAACAAATATTCAAATGCCATTCTGTTTGAATGGCTTGAGTGGTGATGTATACGTATAATCTTTGTTCAGAGAGTAAACACTTTAATAGCAGAATAATAAAAGAATTTCTAGATTGTTTGGCCCGTTTCAAATAATTTAATAAATTGATGCCAGTGTTTTTAGATTTATTAATCGATCTGACATCACAAGTATCCATGCAACAAAAGCCTCGGTAGCCGGTCATTTGACACAATAGATAAAAAGTTCAAATGTCATCAGAAGAATGCTGTGATAGCTTGTATCTGTATCACGACGAGTTAGTCAATACCGTAGTTACGAACAAAACATTCTTCATACTTTGGTTTATGTTCTTCAGTTCAGCTAATTTATTAGGAAAATATAGAATTTATTTTGCAACCTTGGCTCCATGTATTTGGGAATTGGATATCGTTTCATATCTTGGTGCCTGGTGTGGTTAACAATGTGAATTGTTCTAGACACAGCAATTAACCATCCCTAGTAGTGACGATTACTTTGGAACTTCAGAAGCATCGAGTGCTACACTAGTGCTGTACTTACAACTACTTGATGCACAGTCCTCCACTGCAAAATAAAATAGATGACAGATATACAATTTTCTTGAACTGTGATGAATCAATGCTCCACTTTAGAACATAAGCATAATGTCTCGTCGTTATAGAAATAATCACATCTGGGGAGGAAGGAGAGTCTGGACAGGTTTCCAACGCATAACAATTCGTTGTCCATGACTTTTATTAAAGACGTCTTCTGTATTCTGGGAAGGTACATTGCTTATGACAAGATTGTAACCTTGTAACCTTGTACCGTAACTATGGCAAGTATTCATACAAGGCACTCTGACACCAGGATGACGCCAGTGGGACTTGCCATTGGTTTATAGGAAAATGACATCTAGCAAGATATGCGTTACTTAGTGTATTGTTATAACAAGACTGTTAGACAATGGTTGTTGTCATGCAGATATAGGATACAATTGGCTGGTGAGGATATGAGACTGTTACCACACACGCAATTGTTTTCTGATCAGTTAATATGTGCAATACCAGTTGTTTTTTTAATGTTAATCAAGGTGTCACTGGCGATAAAAGAATGTGGAGGGAAGTATGCACACGCACCTTTCTGAACCACTTGAGTGGATATACACGTCAAGAACAGGACGAGGAGGCCGACTGAACAAAGTACCGTAGCCATGGCGACGTTCTGTTTCAAAGGAATAAACACAGTAACTTCCAATGGTAAGGTAGGTAACAAGCTAAACCTGTACATGTCCTATTTATCCATGCTGCCACAATCAATCCCGGATTAGCTGCAGCATTGTTGTGTAAAGCAATGATCTCCTTCCCATAATTACTACCACTGTGGTAATAGAGAGTAGAAATTACTTTATTCTTACGTTTTAATAGAATACAAACATTGATGAATAAACCCCTTTGCATTTTCAAGGGATGTTGAATCTTTAGATAACTTTTATCAAGTGATGTGTAATCACATGCAGTACTTGAACACTTATGAATGTATGGTACATTTCTATTTCATTTGCACCGCCGTCACATTGCTGGAATATTGCCGACAAACAACAACTATTTCATTTGCACCGCCGTCACATTGCTGGAATATTGCCGACAAACAACAACTATTTCATTTGCGGTTTCATGTATGTTTTGCAAACAGAAAGTCGTGAAAGAATTGAAATTAGAAATCATAAATACACAAGAGAATCTTATACTTACAGAAGTGCTTCGATGCCGAATGTAAGCGAAATGCCGGGAGAGGTGGTACGCGAGATTATATACAAGCACGCTGGCAGCAGATGAGAGGGTATCGAATTAGAAACCTACAAATTAATGGAGCCTACATGTGTCCGAATCCCAAATGCAATCAACGCGTAACAGGTGTTATGGTATCAGTGTCTTTCGGTTCATTTACTTGTATGTGACGATGATTACAAGTTTTGCAAACTCTTCCAGTTTTAATATCTGGACTCATTACGAATGGCATTGGGGCCAAAGCTGACATGTGGGTTTCATAAAAAAACGTAAGTTTGCATAGGATTGAACTTCAAAAGATTTATATCGTAAGGAAATTCATAGTGGAGAGGTACTGAGAAGGGAGAACTTCAAAGAATAAAATTATAAAGTCTGTATTCATCCATGTGTGGGTCTGTGTTTCATATACTGATATATTGTAATTTTATCAATATGTGGGTCAGTATTTGATTTTATTTCATGATTTGATCAACGTGTGAGCAAGTGTCCAGTAACACAGGTGTGTCGTAAGACTAATGAGGATTTAGTGATCACAGTGTGTGACCTCACCGATTCTTGGTCAGCGAAAACGAACTGTTTGGGCCGTTAACGTTGCTCATGATATCCACCACTATTATACCCCACCAAGAATCGTACTGAAGGACGCCGTGGTGTAGCTGGAATATTGACATTAATTTGTCACTGTGACCTTGTTTGTAGCGCCCAGTTAGGCTCCCAGGACTTCACCGTTGTCTTGTAGTTAAAGCGATCGCTCGTCACGCCGAAAACTCGGGTTCTATTTCCCACATCCACGATGTGAAAAGCCAATTTTTGGTGTTCCCCGCCATGATATTGCTGGAAAGTTGCTAAGTGCGGCAATATTCACTCACTCACAAGCAAAACAGACACTATAAACATTTTTAACCTATGAATGTATTACCCTATAAAGCATTGGGTTCCTGACAACCTCGGGTAAACCTAGTAACCAGTTCATCTTCCAAATCAAAGTTTTTCTTCAAGGTTCTCTTCCAAACCGAGGTTTTGAAATGGGTCACTTCCAAACCGATTTTGAGTTTTTACTTTTCAATTGTAATACCTAGGTTTTACAATATACGTTATATTAACTTGCCTCTTGGTGTGAACACATTTGTGTTCGAGGATTGGTTAAAAGTCACATGTTTTCCATGAAAATTCCATGACTTGAATCGCAGCCACCTCACCATATCGTGTTAAGTTTTGTTACCCTCTGTTCACAGAACTATCGAGGAAGTTGTTCACATTATCAAGTCATGACTCCAGCTGGTACATACTGCACGTGTATTTTCTCTCGCACGCTTTTAGCGAGTTCCTTTTATACCGCGATACACTGTATTGTTTCACTATTAGGTATGTCGATTTTTAGGGGGTATTTCTTGCATTTTGACGGTTCATTAGCCTCCTCGGTTTCCGTTGAAAATGTAAAACCTTGAGCTCGTGAAAAGAGCTCGCTCGCGGAATTACATTTTCAACCCAAACCGAGGATGCGTGTTTTATCCTATACATAACAAACGAGACATACAGCAAAGGGCAGACTACCATGAGGTTGGGGTGATGCAAACACGTGACCTAGGTAACCCGACGACACTTTCTGATCAGAATTTTTTTGTATGCAGATGTGGTGTAGGTGTAATATTTTTGAAATAGCGTAACGCAAATCTTGTTGTACTTCATGTCTTGTGACTTTCCGTGACAACCCATTCAATTTTTGTTGAATTTGATTCACTAATTGTAATTCATTATATACGTTGTTCATGTTAAGAATATGTACAACATATATACAGCAAATGGACTGGGCCAAGACATAGTTCGTTATATACGTCAGTTCGTTATAAGCATGTTCGTTTTAAACGTAGTTTACTGTATTGACAACAATTCGGACGATATCAAATAGATGAAACTTGAAATTGATTTTTTTCTTTGCCAGAAGAGGAAATAGCTACAAACAGTGACGGAAAGGTTCGGGTTAGATGAACACTCGAGTCTGTGCAAGACCGAGGCCACGCAGACAAAAACACACACAACACCACATAAAGAAAAGAGGAGGTGAGGTGAAATGAGCCTTAGCGTCGCTTTCAAGATTGCACTTATAAAGCGACGTACGAGCCGATCATTCCTTAGTTTATTCCCTTAATGCCGGGTAACAATAAGTACCATCTTTTAATGCCTTTCGGTATGACGCGGCCGGGGTTCAAAATCCCCGACTTTTCGCTCTCTGGGCGGACGCTCAACCATTAGACCACGGGGGCGATTCATAAAGAACAAGAATAAATTGAGAGTTCTAGTACATAAGTTTATTGCTGTTATTCCAACAAACTGCCTTGGTTAATGACTGCACCTGCAGTCTGTGTGTGGCTTACTCACAATCTGGAAATATAACACAACACGATATACCCCTTGTGTAGGTAAGCGACCAGTGGTACATTCACTCAAAAGGCACCACTTACTCTCAAAGTCCATATAAAATATATGACAGTACACAATGTAACATATACACAGTGAAATACAGAAACCGATATCCATTATCTATAATTCTATACGTTTTACAGCTAATTTGTAATAGTTATTTGACAACCAATTCAACTGCTTCCTCTGTCAGACATCGTATGACGCCCCCAGCAGCATTTGGAGGAACACACACTGTTCCTTTTCATCAGACATTGGTGGTACCTTAGACATTTATCGTAATGAGGTCATTTGTTAATATTTTCAAGAAATAAGGAAAGGTTTGGGCTTCACCCTTTTTTCCAGGCGTGTACATGTTACAGTCAATGTGTAAAATGACTTTTCACTTAGGCTATTTACAAAACGCCAAAACATTTCTCTCATTTTACAATTATTTTTCCATTTGTTATATCATGATAACACATTCCAAACATTTTAATGCTCTATTTCATCATCCAGTGATTGAAAATGATAGGATTTTAGGAAAACGGGTCAATGTACACGTTATAAATTGTTTGGCTTCTAATCATAGCATAAGTAGTCCGCTGTGATGTTTTTAAGCCCTTTTGAACTTCTTAATAACTTTTAGTCAATCGGACGGGAAAATAAGTGTAAAATGACTTAAATATTTTGGCGTTTTGTAAATTGCCAAAGTGAAAATTTCAGTCGTTTGAAACATTGACTGATTTTACAAATTTAATACAATCTACAAAGTAGGAAAGCGAGAAATGAAAGACATTTGTGTCATTTCAGATCTACACAGAATTACCACGACGACTTACTGGAATTTACTTTCATGAAGCCGATGGTGTTTCCACTGAAAACACATCTGTGCTTACAGCCTTCAATGGTCATATTTGTGCCTTCTCCATAGCACGAGAGTGGGTCACCATGGGCACAGTCTGAAAATAGGGTCGATTTTGATAGAAGAAATGTAAACTGGCATACAAGACCATTGATCTAATTATTCGGAAATGACAATATTACTTCTGACATGTTTGATATGACGTGCATAAGAACGTACTATAAGTGCCTTTGAATATGAGAGATGAGTTGGAGAACGTGCAGGTCACATTTGTACAGGCGTTGAATGAATATACCTGGCCCACGTTCACGCAGTTTCCATTGGAGATGGCACATCCTTCAACAGAGATGTACAATGTAAAATGTCAGCAACTTAGTTCAAATAAACAACATGGATGAATTGTATACTGCATGTAAGCTCAAAGTGAATCAATATTACATAAGGCTTCAGTGATTTTACAGGTACAGTTTTGTATTTGCATTGAAAAGAGACAAGAAGCTGTGTATCACAGAATAATTGTCATATTTCGACATGTGATTATATGTACAAATACGAGATTAAAACAAGCTATACATTTCTATGTAACATACCCATGGTGCCGCGCAGCCAATAGACACTTGACTCCACAGTGCAAGTCAGCTTGGAGCAGGGGCTTAGTTCGTAGGTCTCATTCAGAGGCACACATCCACCCCCGGGCTTTGGGCAGGCTGCGGAGAAAAGTGGTAAAAACACTACATGTACAAAACAGTCAACGCATTTTACAGCGATCTATTAATACGAGGGCTGGTCAAAAAGTTCAAAGTCTGACTAACTTTTCACTCTTGGCCATAACAAAGTGAACTAGTCAAAGTAGTACATTGTTTGAGTAGTTTTTTTATGCAGGTGTATTTGGTCTGTTGAGGCCGTTCGTATATTGGTGACAGCCAGTTGAACGTGATGGGGGTCCAAATGGATACAGAAATGGACTGGAACGGGTACCGAGCAGTCTTCAAGTTTCTGAATTTAGAGAAAAGTACTCCCCAAGAAATTCATGACCGCATGTCACAAGCGTATGGGGACAAGTGCCCCAGCTATTCCACTGTTAAACGTTGGGCAGCTATGTTTAGGTCTGGGAGAACAAGCCTTGATGATGACCAAGGAGATAGAAAAAACTTATAATGTCAGATAGACGTATTACCATTGCTGAACTTGAGGAAGACACAGGTCTAAGCCGTGGAGCCATTGGAACTATTATTCATGAACATTTACTGATGAATAAGATATAAGCTCGTTGGGTGCCAAAGTTTCAAAATTTTTATCTTAAGGAAAAAAGAACTGACATTGCCAGAGAAGTTTCAGAGCTAATTGAGGACGATTTCGTCAAATTAAAAGAGAGATTAGGAACGGGTGATCCCGAGTCAAAACGTCAATCCATGGAATGGCACCATTCCACTTCCCTGGCACCAAGGAAATTCAAGTCTTCAAGATCAGTGAATAAGGTTATGGCCACTGTATTCTGGGATTAAAACGCTGTGATCCTTGTTAATTACTTAGAAAGTCAAAAGACGATTGCCGGTGCCTACTATGCTGATTTGCTTCATCGCCTGAGCGATTCTATCAAAGAAAAGCGTTGAGGAATACTGACTGCTGGAGTTCTACTACTTTATGACAATGCCTCTTAACTTGCAAAGGCTGTTGTACGACAATGTGGGTTCGAAGAGCTTCCTCATCCCTCATACTTGCCAGACCGGGCACTAAGTTATTTCCACCTGTTTCCTAACCTGAAAGAACACCTTCGTGGAAAGCGACAACAACGATAACCTCAAAGCTGCCGTGAATGGGTATTTCGGGTGGCTTCAGAAAACTTCCTCCTGACTGGAACTGAAAAACTTCACTATCGATATGAGAAGTGTATTGAAAAGCGGGGAGATTAGTTTGAAAAATCAAAATCAAACCACTTTCACGATTGTAAGTTTTGTTTGCTAGGCTTAGAATTTTTTGACCCGCCCTCGAACAAGGCGATTAGGAATACGCTTTTATTGCCATAAAATAGTTGCAATTATTCTATTTAAAATTCAGTTATTCCATTAATCTGTTTTTACTCTCACATTTTCGCGAACACCTAGTACCATCACTATTTAATAGTGATTAAACACACGTGCTTATGATATATTTAGAATCATACAATGGACTCCGCTTTTAAGAGAGATTTCTTGTGATGTAGAAATAGTTCTGACGCTACTATTTACAGTTACTCACTTCCACAGGCATGTATTACATTTACTCCTTGTCCTTTACTTACGGTTACTATAACACTGTAGTCAAGTACTAACCTTTAAAACTGTCTCAATATCCTGTACTTACATGAACTCATTGCCCAAGTCATTCATCGCCGCAGGAAACATTACTTACATTTATTCACTGCTTGGGTCCTGTACTTACAGCCACTCCTGTACTTACAGTCACTCGCTGCCCGCGTCCTGTAGTTACAGTCACTCACTGTCCGAGTCCTGTAGTTACAGTCACTCACTGCCCGAGTCCTGTAGTTACAGTCACTCACTGTCCGAGTCCTGTACTTACACTCACTCGCTGCCCGCGTCCTGTAGTTACAGTCACTCGCTGCCCGCGTCCTGTAGTAACAGTCACTCGCTGCCCGCGTCCTGTAGTTACAGTCACTCGCTGCCCGAGTCCTGTACTTACAGTCACTCGCTGCCCGAGCCCTGTACTTACAGTCACTCGCTGTCCAAGTCCTGTACTTACAGTCACTCACTGTCCGAGTCCTGTACTTACAGTCACTCGCTGCCCGCGTCCTGTAGTTACAGTCACTCGCTGCCCGGGTCCTGTAGTTACTGTCACTCGCTGTCCAAGTCCTGTAGTTACAGTCACTCACTGTCCGAGTCCTATACTTACAGTCACTCGCTGCCCGCGTCCTATACTTACAGTCACTCGCTGCCCGTGTCCTGTAGTTACAGTCACTCGCTGTCCAAGTCCTGTAGTTACAGTCACTCGCTGCCCGAGCCCTGTACTTACAGTCACTCGCTGTCCGTGTCCTGTACTTACAGTCACTCACTGCCCGAGCCCTGTACTTACAGTCAGCCGCTGCCCGAGCCCTGTACTTACAGTCACTCACTGCCCCAGTCCTGTAGTTACAGTCACTCACTGCCCCAGTCCTGTAGTTACAGTCACTCGCTGTCCGAATCCTGTATTTACAGTCACTCGCCAAACTTCTTTTGTACATACGAGACATGGTCTCCACTTTAGGGGATGATGCCCCTTCCTTTTCCACTGTAAAGAAGTGGGCTGCGGAATTCAAGCGTGGCAGAGAGAGCCTTGACGATGACCTGCGTCCAGGAAGGCCTTCAACATCAACCATTCTGGAAAACATTACCCGGGTGCATGACATGGTGATGGCTGATCGACGATTGACCACTCGACATTTTGCCAGTGTTGTGGGCATCTCTCATGAGAGGGTTGAGCACATTATCACCAACGAGTTGGGAATGACAAAAGTTTCTGCAAGATGGGTGCCAAAGCTCTTGACAGCGGATCAGAAACGTATCAGATTCCTGACGTCCCGTGACAATTTATGCCGTTTTGAAGCAGATCCCGATGATTTTTTGGCCCGTTTTGTAACCATGCATGAGACCTGGATTCATCACTTTCAACTAGAAACCAAAATTCAGTCTAAACAATGGAAGCATCCGGAATCACCAGCCCCCCAAAAAGCCAAGTCGGTTCCTTCTGCTGGAAAGGTGATGGCTTGTCTTTTGGGATTCAAAGGGTATTCTGCTGATTGACTATCTTGAAAAAGGCCAGACTATTAATGGAAGACTATCAACAGTTGCGTGAAGCTATCAAAGCTAAGCGACGGGGAATGCTCACTAAAGGAGTCCTGTTCCACCAAGGCAATGCTCCTGTTCACAAATCGGTGGTTGCCATGTCAGCGATCCATGATTGTGGCTTCGAACTCATAGACCATCCCCCTTATTCACCCGATTTGTCCCCGTCAGACTTCCACCTGTTTCCCAAAATGAAAAAGGAACTAGCCGGTCGCCATTTTCCTGGTAATGATTACGCCATTTCCGCCGTGAATGACTTTTTTAACCGGCATCCAGGCCTTGCAGTATCGCTGGCAAAAGTGTGTAAACCTGGAAAGGGACTACGTGGAGAAATAAATGAAAACCATCGACTTGGTACCGGTCTTTCACAGTTAGGGTTAGAACTTTTCAGCCAGCCCTCGTATATGAACTCTTGGTTCGTTTACTTACCTTTACCTATTGCCTAAGTCCTGTACTTACATTTACTCTCAGCCTTGGTCCTTTACTTACTGTCACTTTCTGTCCATATGTTTACTAATGGTTCGTGTAATTAATTTCACCTACTGCACACGATCTGTACTTACATATTCTTATTACTGCACTTACAGTTATTTACTGCCACATACGTATACTTACAGTGACTGGCTGCACATGCAGTGTCTGTATAAATAGAAAGGTTTAAAACATGTGACTCTTTGACATGAGATAACTATTAACGTCCAGTGTTATGTATTCTGCGACTACGATGAACTGATGGACGTTAACTGTGTTTAATAGTGAAGATGAACGATGGTTGAAGTTACACTGCCTATGATGCTTTGAATAGTAGAAATAAAAGAGTAAGTATTGAATATTTGTTTCGGCGAAAGGATAGTGAGTGAAAAAGTGGGTTGACACGCACCTCTCTTGATCACACTCGTGCCGACGAAAGCGAGACTCAAGGCGAGCGCGCACACTGCCTGGAGGCTCAAAGCCATAAATGGTTTCTGTTTCGAATGAAGAAAACATACATCAACATGGTCATGTCATGAAAAGTTACAGTAATCAGGTTAAAACTTCTACCCACGAAGTAATACAGTAATAATAGTGAGGTGAGGTGATATGGGGTTTAACGTCGAATTCAATATTATTGCACTTATATAGCGACGTGCATGCCCCTTGCCGAGCACCAGGCAGGGTAACAGCAGATAGCATTTTGTAACGTCTTTTGGTATGACGCAGCCATTGATCGAACCCCGGACTTTCCGTTCTCCGACCAGACGCTCTACATCTAGATCACGGAGGCGGTCAGTGTTTGTGCAATAAAGACTGTGCCATGTATACTCACACGCAAAAGAAACGGAAGTCGAGTAGGCAGTATACATGTTATTTATTTTCAACATTAAAGACAAGAAATACTAATAGGGCAAGATTGACAAAAAATTGACTAAAGACAGTTTAATGGATTAAAAGGCAGATGACATAGTTGTTTTTATTCAAATGATAAGGGCTTACAAAGTTTCGGGTCAATACCCAAAATGTCAGTCAATACCTGGTGTGACCACCAATAGCATTGATCACTGCCACACATCTCCTGTACATTGAGTGGATCAGACGATTTGTGAAGGCCCTAGGGATCCTCCTGCACACATCCAGAGAAGCTGTGCGTAGTTCATCGGCAGTTGTAGGGACTGGGCGCACATTGTGCAGACGCCTTTGAACCTCATCCCACAAGTGTTCGATGGGTTTCGGGGCTGAGGGCTGGCCACGGTAGAACACGGATGTTGTGTTGTTGCAGAAAGGCCATGGTAGCTCTGGCAACATGGGGACGAGCGTTGTCCTGCTTGAAAATGTGTTGTTGATGTTGTGCAAAAAATGGAACAACTTGGGGTCTGATCACTTGGCTGAGCAGTGACGCCGTGTCCCCGATCTTGACCAACATTCAGAAAGCACATGGGTCCAAGTCTCGCATTAAGTCCAATCCCTGCCCATATCATGAAGCTAGGTCCACCCCATTGATCCCTTTCCACAACGTTTCTGTCAGCGAAACGATCACCTCGACGCCGCCAAATTCTGACTCTTCCGTCTGCATGGGAGACACAAAAGCGACTTTCATCAGAGAAGATGACACGCCTCCACTCACGATGACGCCAATTGCGATGACCCTGTGCCCACTGAAGTCGTGCTTGTCGATGCCGTGGTTGGAGAACAGGACGACGTGCTAGTCGGCGACATCTGAGGTTGTTGGAACGGAGACGTCGGATCACAGTGTCCCGGCTAATGTGTTCCTATGGTCTGTCGAGCACTTTCACTTGCAGTTAGGAACGGATGTCGCTGGTGTTGACGGGTAATCTGCCGATCTTGTGTGGTGATCCGAGGGTGTGTGACCCTAGGACGACCGCTCCGGAGAAGGTCATCTGTGGTCTGTGTAGCATTGTATCGATGCAGGAGACGGTAAATTGTGGTTATGTTAACGTTGAAATGACGGGCAACATCCTGGGCAGACTCTCCAGCTTCCAAACGTCGGATAGCCTGGTTTCTCTGAATTTGAGTTAGGCGTGGCATTGTTGACCAAGGAGTGGTAGGTCCAAGAATCGGCCACAGTTTTATACCCACGACAGCTCGTGACAGTTCGTGCATTTTCGATTTCGCGAGAAATGGGTGCATGATACCCACATATTCATTGAAATGGTGCGTTTTGGCGATTCGTTTCTTATGTTGCGTTTTTACTCGGGGCTTCCCAAATACAACCAAAAATATTGATAACACCATCAGGCTTCACTACATGCTAAAACTCGTATCAATTTATGGTTCCGTGTTTGTTACCTACTTGCTTAAAACCACTTGCGTGTGAGTATACATAATCCCAATGACACATCCGCGTGTTTCTAATTGAATTCTGGTAGTAAATAGGGGGCGCCATGTGGCTCAATTCGCTATGCAGAGTTGTGTCCCCTGGGCACGCCAGAAACCTGTGGTCGTGGGTTCGATCCCGATTCGCCCTGATTATGTTTCTAGGTTTGTCAGCACCATACCCGACTCGTCGATTCCCCCAAAGTTGTAAACGTTGGAGATCTGCATCACTTCGGGTTTTCCTCCCACATTAAGCTGACACGCCGCGATAAAACTGGAATACTGTTCAAAGCGGCGTTAAACCTAACTCAGTCAGATTGCCTGAAGACGACCCCCCCTTTTGCTGTCATTCCCTGTACAGTTATGTAGCACGTGCGGTACGTATTTGCGCTGTTCCTCCAACTGTTGTGGCACCTTTCGTGCAAGATGCCAGTGAGTGAGTGCGTATGGTTTTACGCCGCTTTTAGTAATATTCCAGCAATATCACGGCGGGGGACACTAGAAATAGGCTTCACACATGTCGGGAATCGAACCCGGGCCTTCGGCGTGACGAGCAAACGTTTTGACCACTTGGCTACCCGAGATGTCAACTTGAACACATTACAACATAATAGTTTCTAAAACAACTTGAAATAAAAAAAACAAACAACAGATATTGTTTGATACAGGGTATTCGTTGTTGTGTACCGTATTCCCGATTTTGAGATATTTTGCAATTCATCGTTTCTCATTTGGAGCCAGACGGACTGTACATTATTATATCTTCTCCAGCACAAAAGCACCACGTGTATTACACGTGACTATTCAACGTGGCCAAGGTAAGATCACATGGCTCTGCACACTGTTGAACGGGAAAACACACAGGCGTTTATGAGGCATTTCGATGGATTCAAATGGACACATTCTAGGCTTGTATTCACCCTGGCGTACAACTTTTATTTATGTTAATTCATCAGGTTTTTTTATTATTCGATATCATAGACGATGTATGATATTTGAAATGTTTCATATTGACGAATGTTTCACTATTTCCCAGTTATTCGACTGGAACAAAATGACCTCATCCACTGCCAGCTAGCGTCACATCATCCCGACATGACGTTATGCGAGGTACGTCCACATTGTGACCTATGTGTAGATGGAGAGCGCTTCCGAAATGTCTACAACCATCACTGAAGAGTCTTCAACTGTGTACGTCTTATTGATTATTCAACGCGTGGGCATTTCAACTTATGAAAACTACGACTGACATCGTTGGATTATTTCACAATGGATTATTCATAAACATTATGACAAAACATATAAACAATACTTACGAAAGTGTGTCAATTGTGAATTCCCGGTGAAATATCGAAAGATGAGAAGAGGCACGCGTGTAACACACATAGGGCACTATACCATGACACATCACAATACAATACATTACAATACAATACAATGCATATTTCACGTCGTTGAAGGTCCATAAATTGTAACAGGTGTCGTCACCTACGTGGTAATACCTTAACAGATAGGCAGGATACACATCTGTGATAGCTCTAGATCCCGACTGGAATTTGAGGTTATTATCTTTGGCTGATTGATTCATAAGGAGAGACGATTGAAAAGAGGATCAGTAGGTTTATACTCATGAATACACCCTTGCATTAGTGAAACACATAATACATCAGTCAGTTCAGTCGGGCACGAGTGGCCCATTCAACCAAGGCCGCAATTCACTGTGCAGAATTGCGTCCCTGAGGTGTCGGCAGATGCTGACAATTCTAGGTTCCATAAACACATTCACCCTGGTTATGATAGTTGGTTTGTCAGCACCAGATTTGTTAGCAAACAGCAGTCACATTGCGGACTCTTCTCCACACAATAATGTGTTCGTAGTTTCACATAAGGGGTGTACGTCTGAGACTCGACTACTTCGTGCTGTCTTCCCACATTCAGCTGACACGGCATTATTAACCCGACTCACTCACTCACCATTCAGCTGACACGGCATCATTGACCCGACTCACTCACTCACCATTCAGCTGACACGGCATTATTGACCCGACTCACTCACTCACCATTCAGCTGACACGGCATCATTGACCCGACTCACTCACTCACCATTCAGCTGACACGGCATTATTGACCCGACTCACTCACTCACCATTCAGCTGACACGGCATTATTAACCCGACTCACTCACTCACCATTCAGCTGACACGGCATTATTAACCCGACTCACTCACTCACCATTCAGCTGACACGGCATTATTAACCTTCTTTTCGAAGTGGTGTTTAAACCCGACTCACTCACTCACCATTCATCTGTTCCCCCTTTGAGTATTACACGTTCCATGTACTTTCACAATCAATAGATTGCCTTTGTAATGATTACTTCATCGGCAAAAACGCCTTTTATGTATGGAATAACTACTTTGTGTACATTGACAATGAATAATTCTACACCCAGTCTTTGATCTTCAAATGGAATATTACACACTCTATGCTATAATTGGTAATGCTGTGGGACTTTGTATGTACAAACTCAGATTATAACAATTTCTTCTGTGCAGATAATACATCGAATATGCATCGAAGCAATGGATAAGGCTGGGTGTTTTATGGAGGTTCTACACTCCCTCCACTCAACAATTAGAGATTGAGTAGTTGTGATTGTTGTTGCTATATGGCGGCGGTAGTAAGCATTGGCTCACATTTTGTCTCACATATTTACTCACTTATTGCCTCACTCATTGTCTCACATTTTGCCTCACTCATTGTCTCACATATTGCCTCACTCATTGTCTCACATATTGCCTCACTCATTGTCTCACATATTGCCTCACTCATTGTCTCACATATTGTCTCACATTTTGCCTCACTCATTGTCTCACATATTGCCTCACTCATTGTCTCACATATTGTCTCACTTAGTGTCTCACTTAATGTCTCACATATTATCTCACTTATTGTCTCACATATTGCCTCACCCATTGTCTCACATATTGCCTCACTCATTGTCTCACATATTGTCTCACATATTGCCTCACTCATTGTCTCACATATTGTCTCACATATTGCCTCACTCATTGTCTCACATATTGTCTCACATTTTGCCTCACTCATTATCTCACTTATTGTCTCACATATTGCCTCACTCATTGTCTCACATTTTGCCTCACTCATTGTCTCACATTTTGCCTCACTCATTGTCTCACATATTGCCTCACTCATTGTCTCACATATTGCCTCACTCATTGTCTCACATATTATTGCTATCATTTGCAACATTCACTTCTCCACTCAACAATAACACAGCTACACAGTTGAATACATATTCCTCAAATCCAGAAAGCAATATGAGCTAATGCAAGTGCGTACATAAAGCGTGATGGATCTTCTTGGGGTCCATTAAACGGTTGACCATTTCCACATGTCTGTATTTACACGAACTGTTTATTTTCATGCATGTATATATATAGGTAACTGCATAAGCAGTACTAATTCCACATGCATATATTGTGAATGAATCTTCAATCTACCCACCAGTCAAGAAACATATGCGACGACCAAGCACGTGAATGGAATGCATGTCAAAAGCTTTGTTTTACGTCAGTGCGGATTGGTCCCTGTGGCGTGTGACAGGTCAGCTTTCCATTCCATCATTTAGACACGAAAAGCTCTTATGATCATACCCACCCTCGTGTACCTTCTGGTCACATTAAGCATGAAAGTGTTGATGTTTGACTGGCGACAGAAAGACTATCTTGAGAAGTAACGAATTCCTCTGAACTTCAACATGAAACCCTGGCATGAAAAGAAAGCTGAAGCAAAATAAAGAGATTTTGAACTTAACTTCTTCCCCCCTAAAAGCTGAAAGGTTCAATCTCGAGAATAATAAATTTAATACTGATGATTTATGAGCTCATTTAGTTTTCATAGTTTCAGAGTTCATGATACAAATAGAAAGCTGAGTTAACACGATACTCGGACATGAACTCTGAACGATATTATCGATTTATACTTCGTATAATAGTAGCGTACTACGCTTGTTAATGGTATACTACAAATATCACCTTATTATAAAAAAATACATATAATTGAATCATGTACACACCGATGTTTCTAGAACTACCAACCACAACGTCTGATACGAGAACACACACAGCCAGGTAGCACTTAGTCCTTGAGGGCAAACTCAACCCGATACCACCATGTTCAGTCAAGAATATAAACCTTTTTACCCCTCTTGGGTTCACTGACTTTATTATAATATTTGTATGTCAAACTGGATTATACCACAGTAACTCAAATCCGGGGATGCCGGAGAAGACTAAGTTGTCCATGCAAGTCATGTTATGTCTCAGGAGTCGAGTGAAGAGAATTAGTTGGTCAGGTTTCTGTTACATAGCTGATGGTGTGTCAGCAAGACCCGTGTGCCATCTACACTCCAGCATTACAGACCGGCGTGACATAGCTGGACTTTTGTTGGCTGCGGCGTTAATTAACATTCACTCACTCATACCTAATATAAATATATAGATTATCCTAAATGAATAAATTCTAAAAAAATTCTGTATCTGATAGTATAATAGATTTCACTGTGCAAATTCTTCACCTGGAGAGAATGATATGTTTGACGACAGTTGTTGGTTTTGTATCACCGGTGCTTGAACAGTATTTCATGTGTACGTTTGATGTAGAGGAAAGACAAAAGTGACGCTGGTCGTAGATATTTACTTATGAATCATGTTATGGTACCGATAGATCATTATCAGGGTAAATATGGGATTCAACCCACTGCCCCAGCACGACCAAGAGACGCAGTGGGTTGGTTATAAGTCGTAGAGCGGACGATGCACGTCGTCGTTGCACGATGACACACATTGAGGCACGTCACGTATTGTACGACCTGATCCCGATCGGTCACCCCACACACGCAGTGGGTACAGAGGCACACGTGTGTATTAACCTACTGGATGTAGTAGCCTCCGTTAAGCCATTGCTAGATCAGTGTTACATTTTCTACAAATGAAAAAAGTCTTTAAAAACAGATTGCATATTTAATTGCTTTAATCTCTGACATGAACTCTTCGTTACCGAGCTGGGGCGAAGCGGCGTGTCTAGCAATCTAAAACATATACAGAAAATATACATTCAGCAGATAAATGAATGAACAAGTAATTTAAATAGTTTAATTTGCACGTACTCGTCGTAAAAAGACATTGCTTTCAAGCACACCGACATAGCCATTAGGAGTTGTAGAACAAAGGTAATAGAACATTCCTTCCTTCATCATGGCGACTGGACTTCAGTAAAACATTGACAACCTTACTTTACATATTAAACAGGTTTAGCTGTTTTTAGAGAGGACGGTATGGTTTTACGTCGCTTTGATAGGTATTTCAATTATATGAGGGCCTTTCGTAAAGATGCAGGTCTTAGACGTTTAGCGCTTTGGTGCGGTTCTGACAAACTACAATATAATCAGGTAGAATATGGGATTCCAAACCAAGATCATAGGTCTGACTTCAGGACACTGCACAATTGTGGCACACTAGTTTTCAAGGCCATCTCCCCCACCAATGGTGTTCAGGGTAGGATCGAAGGAAAGACCCTTTGCACAAAATTAGATAATAATTGTTGATGCGTGATGGACGATGGGAAGGGCGACAAAAACGTATTAACAAGAAGTTTCGTTTCATTAGATTTGCATTATATGTGTATTTATGAAGTTGCTTGCGAGGTCTTATAGCTTACATCAGTCTTTCAAATGAGCAAATTTGTTTCGAAAATATTTACGGATGATTGTTTTTGATTTGGTATATTTTCAAAAGCTATTCAAAGTTCCTGCATCATGTCACTATTGACTCTACACGTAACGGTAAACGTCCAGTGTGTTAAATAGTGCATCATTGACGAACAGAAATGTTTCATCTACTTGAGCGGTCTTACAATTGTTCCAAGGCTAGTGGGTAGTGACCCAGGCCTTCGTCATTACGGCTATTTCCGGTTGGACAGATCACGCTGATGTTATCATTGAAAATATAAGTACGTGTGAGGTATGGGGGAATATATAGATGGATACTTATATTGCCTGTGTGCCATCGTCAACGCTCATGCACGTATTAAGTCGGTATCTAGCATTCACGTTGAGGTGAACAGGTGAACTTACCTGGGTCATTTGGCGTGAAACCGATCACACCGCTGATGGAACAGGTGTAGTCACAGCTACCGAGTGTTAACGGGGCACCTCCTTCATAACACTTGCCACCATATGCACATTCTGAAAGTACGGAGCCGCATGTTAGGTTTGTGCAACGGAGTCCCTCTTTCTTGAACCAAAATAACTAAATTGAAGATAACCAACAGATTATAAAAGGTTTCAGACAGACACATGTGTTTCACTATAGTGGTAAACGTGCACTATGTGTCTGACAGCACCATACCCGTGCACATGAGTTTCACTACAGTGGTAAACGTGCACTATGTGTCTGTCATCACCGTATGCGTGCACATTGGTTTCGCTATAGTGGTAAACGTGCACTATGTGTCTGTCATCACCGTATGCGTGCACATTGGTTTCGCTATAGTGGTAAACGTGCACTATGTGTCTGTCAGCACAATACCCGGGCAATGGGTTTCACTACAGTGGTAAACGTGCACTATGTGTCTGTCAGCACCATACCCGGGCAGTGGGTTTCACTACAGTGGTAAACGTGCACTATGTGTCTGTCAGCACCATGCCCGTGCACATAGGTTTCACTACAGTGGTAAACGTGCACTATGTGTCTGTCAGCACCATACCCGTGCACATGAGTTTCACTACAGTGGTAAACGTACACTATGTGTCTGTCAGCACAATACCCGGACAGTGTGTTTCACTATAGTGGTAAACGTGCACTATGTGTCTGTCAGCACCATACCCGGGCAATGGGTTTCACTACAGTGGTAAACGTGCACTATGTGTCTGTCATCACCGTACCCGTGCACATGGGTTTCACTACAGTGGTAAACGTGCACTATGTGTCTGTCAGCACCATACCCGGGCAATGGGTTTCACTACAGTGGTAAACGTGCACTATGTGTCTGTCAGCACCATACCCGTGCACATGGGTTTCACTACAGTGGTAAACGTGCACTATGTGTCTGTCATCACCATACCTTGGCAATGGGTTTCACTTTAGTGGTAAACGTGCACTATGTGTCTGTCAGCACCATACCCAGGCAGTGTGTTTCACTACAGTGGTAAACGTGCACTATGTGTCTGTCAGCACCATACCCGTGCACATGGGTTTCACTACAGTGGTAAACGTGCACTATGTGTCTGTCAGCACCATGCCCGTGCACACCCGTGGTAAACGCGCACGACATGCACCACAGTAGGTTATGTTGACATGCCATGACATAACTGAAAAATATAAATCCGAAAGGAAAATAGAGTTACATACGGATTGTATCAGCTCGGAGCCCGTAGACGTTATTAACGACTGTACACGTCATCTGTGTACATGCATTCAGGTCGACACTGTCGCCAAGGGCAACACACCCGACTCCGCCAACACCAGGACACGCTGAAACAGGGTATGAAGAATGAATACTAAGTCCACACATTTGTCAACGTATTATCGGGTAATCTTATTAATATGTTTATTAAAAAGAAGGTTTGACTTCAAAAGAGATTTCCCTGACAGTGAAGATTAATTCCAGTGTGTAGGTATTTCATTATTTTGCTTTACCGACTCATCATGTTGTACTCACAGCCACTGTCGAGGCAGTTGACATCGCCGCTTGCACCACCTTCATCACCTCCACTGGGAGAATCCCCGTCGTCAGCTGTTCCCATGCCCATATCTGTCAACATGGAAATAGGAGGATGTGATCGTCATGAAGCACTTGTTGATGGGTAGACATACAATCGTGTGAAGTAAAACCCTGAACACTTGCAAGAGGAAAGATCAGATTAGTGAGGAGTATATGACCTGAGAGACAGTATATACCTGCTCAGTGGAGAGTATATGGATATGAGAGACAGTATATACCAGCTCAGTCGAGAGTATATGGACATGAGAGACAGAATATACCAGCTCAGTCGAGAGTATATGACATGAGAGACATAATATACCAGCTCAGTTGAGAGTATATGGACATGAGAGACAGAATATACCAGCTCAGTGGAGAGTATATGACATGAGAGACATAATATACCAGCTCAGTTGAGAGTATACGGACATGAGAGACAGAATATACCAGCTCAGTGGAGAGTATATGACATGAGAGACATAATATACCATCTCAGTGGAGAGTATATGGACATGAGAGACAGAATATACCAGCTCAGTGGAGAGTATATGACATCAGAGACAGAATATACCAGCTCAGTGGAGAGTATATGGACATCAGAGACAGAATATACCAGCTCAGTGGAGAGTATGTGGACATCAGAGACAGAATATACCAGCTCAATGGAGAGTATATGGACATGAGAGACAGAATATACCTGCTCAGTGGAGAGTATATGACATGAGAGACAGAATATACCAGCTCAGAAGAGAGTATATGGACATCAGAGACAGAATATACCAGCTCAGTGGAGAGTATACGGACATCAGAGACAGAATATACCAGCTCAGTGGAGAGTATATGACATGAGAGACAGAATATACCAGCTCAGTGGAGAGTATATGGACATGAGAGACAGAATATACCAGCTCAGTGGAGAGTATATGGACATGAGAGACAGAATATACCAGCTCAGTGGAGAGTATATGGACATCAGAGACAGAATATACCAGCTCAGTGGAGAGTATATGACATGAGAGACAGAATATACCAGCTCAGTGGAGAGTATATGACATCAGAGACAGAATATACCTGCTCAGTGGAGAGTATATGGACATCAGAGACAGAATATACCAGCTCAGTGGAGAGTATACGGACATGAGAGACAGGGCGACAGAATATTCAATGTGGATTGTTACCTCTCTTGACGACATGAGAGACACAATATGCGAGACATACGGCGATAACGCAGCCCGCCAGTAGTACTCGAGCCATGTTGAATGTCTGCAATAAATGAACAGTTATTTAAACATTCACACAGACATCCATGAACTCATTTATGTAATTTGTTTTCGCGCATTGTTTACCCTGATTATTCCTCTGATTTGACTGATGCGTTTTTGCTAGATATTATGACCGTTAACTACACAAGCAGTTCAACATTTGATTGTAAGAAAAAGGAACAAAATACACAAACAAACAAACTAAAATACTTACTGAAACGATTCTTGACGCGAAAGTGACCACAGCACGGACGGGTCACAATATATATCAGGAATAGGTAACAGGTGACGGGAATATTAAATATGAAACTGAATAGCAGTAATTTATCACCCATCAGACTTTGTGTTAGACATACACACACAGGGACATACTGGAGACACACAGGGGGCATACTGGAGACACACATGGGACATAATAGAGACATACGGGGGACATACTGGAGACATACAGGGGACATACTGGAGACACACAGGGGACATACTGGAGACACACAGGGGATAACTGGGGACATACGGGGGACATACTGGAGACATACAGGGGGCATCTTGGAGACACACATGTGACACACTAGAGACCCACAGGGGACATACTGGAGACACACAGGGGGCATACTGGAGACATACAGGGGACATACTGGGGACATACAGGGGACATACTGGAGATATACAGGGGACACACTGGAGACACACAGGGGACATACTGGAGACATACAGGTGGCATACTGGAGACACTCATAGGACATACTGGAGACGCACAGGGGACATACTGGAGACACACAGGGGACATACTGGAGACATACGGGGGACATACTGGAGACACACAGCGGATAACTAGAGACATACGGGGGAGATACTGGAGACACACAGGGGGCATACTGGAGACACACAGGGGACATACTGGAGACACACGGGGACATACTGGAGACACACATGGGACATAACAGAGACATACGGGGGACATACAGGAGACATACAGGGGACATACTGGAGACATACAGGGGAAAACTGGGGACATACGTGGGACATACGAGAGGCACACGGGGGACATACTGGAGACACACAGGGGACATACTGGAAACATACAGGGGACATACTGGAGACACATGAGGACATACTGGAGACACACAGGGGACATACTGGAGGCATACGGGGGACATACTGGAGACATACAGGGGACATACTGGAGACACACGGGGGAGATACTGGAGACATACAGAGGACATACTGGAGGCACACAAGGGGCATACCTGAGGTACGTGGGGACATACTGGAGACATACAGGACACATAGTAGAGACACACATGAGACATACTGGAGATAATCAGGGGACATACTGGAGTCGCACGTGGGACATACTGAAGACATTCTGGGGATATACTAGAAACACACAGGGCACATGCTGAAGACACACATGGGACATACTGGAGACACACAGGGGACATACTGGAGACACACATGGGACATACTGGAGACACACAGGGGACATACTGGAGGCGCACATGGGACATACTGGAGACGCACAGGGGACATACTGGAGACATACGGGGACATACTGGAGACATACGGGGGAAATACTGGAGATATACGGGGGACATACTGGAGACGCACAGGGGGCATACTGGAGACATACGGGGGACATACTGGAGACACGGGGGACATACTGGAGACATACTGGAGATATACGGGGGACATACTGGAGACACACAGGGGACATACTGGAGACACACGGGGACATACTGGAGACACACATGGGACATAACAGAGACATACGGGGGACATACAGGAGACATACAGGGGACATACTGGAGACATACAGGGGAAAACTGGGGACATACGTGGGACATACGAGAGGCACACGGGGGACATACTGGAGACACACAGGGGACATACTGGAAACATACAGGGGACATACTGGAGACACATGAGGACATACTGGAGACACACAGGGGACATACTGGAGGCATACGGGGGACATACTGGAGACATACAGGGGACATACTGGAGACACACGGGGGAGATACTGGAGACATACAGGGGACATACTGGAGGCACACAAGGGGCATACCTGAGGTACGTGGGGACATACTGGAGACATACAGGACACATAGTAGAGACACACATGAGACATACTGGAGATAATCAGGGGACATACTGGAGTCGCACGTGGGACATACTGAAGACATTCTGGGGATATACTAGAAACACACAGGGCACATGCTGAAGACACACATGGGACATACTGGAGACACACAGGGGACATACTGGAGACACACATGGGACATACTGGAGACACACAGGGGACATACTGGAGGCGCACATGGGACATACTGGAGACGCACAGGGGACATACTGGAGACATACGGGGACATACTGGAGACATACGGGGGAAATACTGGAGATATACGGGGGACATACTGGAGACGCACAGGGGGCATACTGGAGACATACGGGGGACATACTGGAGACACGGGGGACATACTGGAGACATACTGGAGATATACGGGGGACATACTGGAGACACACATGGGACATACTGGAGTCATACGGGGGACATACTGGAAACGCACAGGGGGCATACTGGAGACATACGGGGGGCATACTGGAGACACACATGGGACATACTGGAGACGCACATGGGACATACTGGATACATACAGGGGACATACTGGAGACATACGGGTGAAATACTGGAGATATTAAAGAGACATACTGGAGACATACGGCGGATATACTGGAGATACACTGGGGGCATACTGGGGACAATCGGAGAACATTCAGGGGATATATTCAGGGAACATACTAGAGACACAAGGGGGACATACTTGAGAGTTTGAGGGGACATGCTGGAGACATTCTGGGGACATTCAGGGGACACACAGGGGACATACTGGAGACACACGTGGACATACTTGAGAGATTGAGGGTACATACTGGATGACTTACTGTGTCTCTGTAGCAGTCCTTATCAAATGAAGTGAAATTATTTGTTTCCATCAACATTATGCATTTTCAGAGACCAAGCGTTATTCTGGTATTCTGTCTGCCTTGATCAGTTCACTGCCTTGCACGATATATTGATTATTTCAATGTGACACATTTCATTGTTTAAAGTTTTACTTGATCCATCGATACCATGTTCATACATATCCTGTTTTGGTAATTAAAAGTAGTCAAGGGAATACCTGACATGTCTTGCGTGGATGTGGTAGAACCAACCACCTTCAGTCCAAAATCACATAACAGACTACTGGAGACACGTCTCAGTAAGCGTGTTTAGTTTAACAAATATATTTCTTGTGACGTCATCCTAGTGTTTTATGTGTGTATGTTGTCCAGATAATATAAATCACCCCTACACACGACTGTGTTGGTCCATTCCAAAAGACTGCAGTGTGCCTGCGTGCGCGCGCGCGTTTGTGTTTGTATGTGTGTGTGGAGTGGGGTAATATACGTTCAACGTCTCCGGTTGACTGTCATAGTTACCAGGAACACGAGGGGAAACTCCCGTGACTAGGCCACACTTCTGTTCTATTTAAGGGTTAGTTTGTGAGTATGGCTTCAAGACGCTTTTAGCAATATGCAAGCAAATTCACGTCGGAGGACACCAGAAATGGGCTTCACACATTTAACCCATATGGAGAATGGAACCCGGGACTTCGGCGTGACGAGCGAACACAATAAGCACTCGGATACCCTACCGTCCCGTCATATGTGAACTATAGTACCTATGAGGACATAGTTAACCCAAAGTCTGGGTCAGGACCAATCATTACAAGTGTGAAGGCGGAGATGACATAGATTAGAACTGCTTTTATGCAATAATGAAAGTAGGAAGGACTCCTTGAGCTCTGTCTTCATACTTGAGATCATTGCTCCTGAAAGATAAGTTCTGTTAATAACAATATTTAAGTTCTGAAGATACCAACAGTTAGTAAACATAAGCTCTGTAGATACCAACGGCAAGTATACATAAGTTCTGTAGATACCAACAGCAGGTATACATAAGTTCTTTGAATAACGGTATATAAACATTAGTTCTGTAGATACCAATAGTAAGTAAACATATGTTCTGTAGATACCAACATCAAGTATACATACGTTCTTTGAATAACAGTATATAAACATAAGTTCTGTAGATACCAACAGCAAGTATACATAAGTTCTTTGAATAACGGTATATAAACATTAGTTCTGTAGATACCAATAGTTAGTAAACATATGTTCTGTAGATACCAGCATCAAGTATACATACGTTCTTTGAATAACAGTATATCAACATAAGCTCTGTAGATACCAGCATCAAGTATACATAAGTTCTTTGAATAACAGTATATAAACATAAGCTCTGTAGATACCAACAGCAAGTATACATAAGTTCTGTAGATACCAACAGCAAGTATACATACGTTCTTTGAATAACAGTATATAAACATAAGTTCTGTAGATACCAGCATCAAGTATACATAAGTTCTTTAAATAACAGTATATAAACATAAGCTCTGTAGATATCAACAGCAAGTATACATAAGTTCTGTAAATACCAACAGCAAGTATACATAAGTTCTTTGAATAACAGTATATAAACATAAGTTCTGTAGATACCAACAGCAAGTATACATAAGTTCTGTAGATACCAACAGCAAGTATACATAAGCTCTGTAGATACCAGCATCATGCATACATAAGTTCTTTGAATAACAGTATATAAACATAAGTTCTGTAGATACCAACAGTAAGTATACCTAAGTTCTTTAACTAACAACAGCAAGTATACATACAAGTTCTGTAACATTTCGGTTGATAAGAACACATTAGAAGCATTTTGACATGTCTTCCGGTCTTATTATAGTTCATTTAAAAAGAATTCTGAAAGGTTCTATGCGTTGAACAAAACGGATATTCAAAGTTGTAACGTTTTAAATACACAATAACATATCAATAGCTACATAGACACAATAATTAATTCCGGTCCCTTGAACCTGACTGCAGTAATAACTGTATATATCATAAACTTGGGGATCGTGTGAGATGATTGTTATGAAAAGCCACACTAATGACATTGGTATATTATCTCTGATGTAAATTCTACGCCATGAAAATAATTCAAATCTACACGATTGTAATAGTTTCATATATTTCGTTTGATGGTGTCATTAAGGTAAGTAAATACTAGTAAACACTATTCTCATGCAATGAACCGTCTAATCGACTACAGGTGTGGCGACATTTACCTGGGATATGGATCTTAATTGTTAGGCACATCTTTGTCGCACGAACTGTCGATACTGTGTCTGTGGTGAGAAGGTCAGAGTAGCAATCATGTTGTGTGCGTCTGTCACTGGTACAATACAGAACAAGAGAACGTGAAGTCCATGTGTCAATCAAACGTGCCGCGTGATGGCTAATAAACTGGATGTCCAATACTAGTATATGACCAGGTCACGGCCCAAGTGACAACTAATGTAACAGAATTACGGCTTTCTGGTTGATTAAAATGCACTTTTGAATACTCCTTCGAGTCTATTGGGCCGTACTGAGGTGACTGAACATTGCCCTCTGTACTGAGATGACTGAACATTGCCCTCTGTACTGAGATGACTGAACATTGCCCTCTGTACTGAGATGACTGAACATTGCCCTCTGTACTGAGGTGACTGAACATTGCCCTCTGTACTGAGGTGACTGAACATCGCCCACTGTACTGAGATGACTGCACATCGCCTACTGTACTGCGGTGACTGAACATTGCCCTCCGTACTGAGGTGACTGAACATCGCCCTCTGTACTGAGGTGACTGAACATTGCCCACTGTACTGAGGTGACTGAACATTGCCCACTGTACTGAGGTGACTGAACATTGCCCACTCTACTGAGGTGATTGAACATCGCCCACTGTTCTGAGGTGACTGCACATCGCTCTCGGTACTGAGGTGACTGGCCATCGCCCTCTGTACTGAGGTGACTGAACATTGCCCACTGTACTGAGGTGACTGCACATTGCCCTCTGTACTGAGATGACTGAACATTGCCCTCTGTACTGAGGTGACTGAACATGGCCCACTGTACTGAGGTGACTGAACATCGCCCACTGTACTGAGTTGACTGAACATTGCCAACTGTACTGAGGTGACTGATTATCGCTCTCGGTACTCAGGTGACTGAACACTGCCCACTGTACTGAGGTGACTGAACATCACCCACTGTACTGAGGTGACTGAACATCGCTCTCTGTACTGAGTTGACTGATCATTGCCCACTGTACTGAGGTGACTGAACATTGCCCACTGTACTGAGGTGACTGAACATCGCCCACTGTACTGCGGTGACTGAACATCGCCCACTGTACTGAGGTGACTGAACATCGCCCACTGTACTGAGGTGACTGAACATTACCCTCTGTACTGAGATGACTGCACATTGCCCACTGTACTGAGGTGACTGAACATCGCCCGCTGTACTGAGGTGACTGAACATTACCCTCTGTACTAAGGTGACTGATCATTGCCCTCTGTAATGAGGTGACTGAACATCGCCCACTGTACTGAGGTGACTGAACATCGCCCGCTGTACTGAGGTGACTGAACATTGCCCTCTGTACTAAGGTGACTGAACATTGCCCACTGTACTGAGGTGACTGAAGATCGCATTTTATTACGACTGTTTACGTGTTACACGCTACAATGGAGCAGTATCACGCGTTGCCGTGTTTAGATGCTCGTGCATGATGAGCTGCTCACACCATTAGCCAACGTGCACGTGCAGCTGTCGTCTGTGCCACCGATCGCATGAGTGGCGGAGGCGCCGTTTGCTGTGCACGACTGAAACCCATCCGATGCAATGTGATTGCAAACTTCAGCTGAAACACAGGTCAAGTAGGTTACAGGAGAGATGCATTTCACTGAACGTCGTGTATTCTTTAGTTTTGCCCCTCAAAACACCACAAGACGACATTTCCGCTACAGTGATTTAACATATCATTCCAAAAATCTGTTATTCTCCATATTGTACGATAAACAACCCCAGCACGTCGTTTATTTCTTAAATATGTCTTCATGTCACGAACGAAATGAAATGTGAACAGTTAGAATATCCTATACTGGAAATCTAGAACGTAAGAGCTTAAGTCTCAATGAGCAATGGTTGGTGCTGTGATTCACTGTGATGGGACGTGTGCGTGCGTTCTTGAACTGAGATATATGCAAGGAGTTTCTTCACTTAATATCATTGATCTAACGACAGATCGTGTGCGGATAACATGCACGCTCATATTAATTTTCCTTCCCTCTTGTCCTTAGACGATCGAAACACGCCTGACAGCTTGCCAAGATGTAAACATCGACTGTGAGATGTCGTCCACACACTGGCACACCTACACTTCCCCACTTTCTCATTGGACAATTCGATTAACGGTTTCTGCATTGTCAGAAACATCGAGACGTGTGATTGGCTTGTGCGTACCACCACGCTTCTTGCAGACCTCCTCTTTATTGACAGTGTGTTTCATTGGCTGGTACTGAAGTTACCAACATTGTTAACAAATATGTCTGGGTGTTTTACAAATGTGATATAGTGAACATACACACTTGTACAGAATATGTATTACGTCCTATTAACTGACTTGTAATTTGTAATTTGTAATTAACTGAGTGAGTGAGTGAGTGAGTGAGTATGGTTTTCCAGCAATATCACGGCGGGGGACACCAGAAATGGGCTTCACACATTGTACCCATGTCGGGAATCGAACCCGGGTCTTCGGCGTGACGAGCGAACGCTTAAACCACTAGGCTACCCGACCGCCCCTGTAATTAACTGACTTGGAACTGGTCGTATCTATGTGTAGAAACCCCAACAGATATCATTTATGAGTTATTCCTCTTATCGAACAAGTTCCCTAAAATGTTTGATGTCATCAGTCATTGGTTTGCCTCAATTCCGAGTTCCATCCAAGTTGAGGTATGACGTCCCTGTTCATATGTCCGGCCGTTTTAAAGTTTTAAAACGCAGCGCTATTGCCTTTCAAAACAGGTTATGTGCTTTGTGAAAATATTTTCAAAACCATGTTGTCTTATGGCAGCGACCAGCTGGTGACTTTGTTCATTGACAGTTCCCATCAACAAAACATACCCAAAATCCATATCCATATAAAATAAAAAATATGCTGGCCTTACATGTCGGACAAAAAGGCGGTTCATATTTCAAAAAAATATTCAAAGCACTATGCCATCCTAATAAAGCTTCATGATTTACAAATGGATGCCCACCTGTTTTTTATCACCATGAGTGGCCCACATTTTAGAAAATGGTTATTATTAAGGCAAGTTCATAGAAGATTCGCTATCTATAAATGTTGGCCCACGTGGGTTTTTTCGATCACTATATATAACATGGAAAAAGTGGGCACACAATTTAGTAAATGATCATCCATACACAACCATCCTAAGAGGACGTGTATATCAACATACTACAACTACTGACTTTCTAAAAATCGGGGCCCTTCCGACAGCCATCTCTATTCAGATAAATAAAGCGAACTCAATACAGGAACACAATAACACAGGGAAGTATCACCGCTTTCAGAACCATGGGATTAATGCACGTGCATGTTCTACTGCATGCCACTGCAGTAAGTATGTACTTGGCTCGATAGTTAAAGTTGATATCACAATTATCTATCTAATTTTATATATTTGATAAGTAAAATTAAACTATCGTGTTTTTAAAGCGACATGTCTCAGAAAAGAGTTATGTTCTTTAATTGAGATCGACGGATATTCTTAATTTCATGGTAACATGGGTGGTAATACCCTTAATTAGAATCCATTTATTCTACGTTTCAAGGAAAGTAGACTATATGGATACTGTATGTATTTATAGTGGCGGTTTTGTCAAATCCTATTCCGTTTTAAGATAATTTTATTGACAACAGTGATATTTTTTCACAAATGTGAGAACTTCAAGGAGTTACGCGACCCCATTATTCCTTGTTAAACAGGTACAAGGCGAATCATTGTACGCACAGTGATCACATAAATTAAACCTTTTGTAAAACGCACTAGCCATTACAAAGACACGTTCAAATATCTACTCCGTGTAACTCCAATATATCAACTTCATTCTCAAACAGTATCCAAGGCTTGTCGAACGAGACGGTTAGAGGGGTCGGGTCTTCTCACTGAGCATGTAGTCAGTTGCCATGATGGCGTACATGTAGGCGCTTGCTCATGCGCCAGTCCTCAGATTTGCCTAGTCCACATACGATTATTTACAAGCAATTGTAGTACAACATTTCTGGCTGTGGGTTTACTCTCTCCTGTTCACACGTTCTCAAACATCCAAATCGATGTGGCAGGATGGCACGACAGGATTACATCATGGCAGGTTAAACCCATGACAACACACGTTAGATTACTCAAGTTGGATTACATCATGGCAGGTTAAACCCATGACAACACAGGTTAGATTACTCAAGTTGGATTACATCATGGCAGGTTAAACCCATGACAGCACACGTTAGATTACTCAAGTTGGATTACATCATGGCAGGGTAAACCCATGACAACACACGTTAGATTACTCAAGTTGGATTACATCATGGCAGGTTAAACCCATGACAACACACGTTAGATTACTCAAGTTGGATTACATCATGGCAGGTTAAACCCATGACAACACACGTTAGATTACTCAAGTTGGATTACATCATGGCAGGTTAAACCCATGACAACACACGTTGGGTTACTCAAGTTGGATTACATCATGGCAGGTTAAACCCATGACAACACACGTTAGATTACTCAAGTTGGATTACATCATAGCAGGTTAAACCCATGACAACACACGTTAGATTACTCAAGTTGGATAACATCATGGCAGGTTAAACCCATGACAACACACGTTAGATTACTCAAGTTGGATTACATCATGGCAGGTTAAACCCATGACAACACACGTTGGGTTACTCAAGTTGGATTACATCATGGCAGGTTAAACCCATGACAACACACGTTAGATTACTCAAGTTGGATTACATCATGGCAGGTTAAACCCATGACAACACACGTTGGGTTACTCAAGTTGGATTACATCATGGCAGGTTAAACCCATGACAACACACGTTAGATTACTCAAGTTGGATTACATCATGGCAGGTTAAACCCATGACAACACACGTTAGATTACTCAAGTTGGATAACATCATGGCAGGTTAAACCCATGACAACACACGTTAGATTACTCAAGTTGGATAACATCATGGCAGGTTAAACCCATGACAACACACGTTGGGTTACTCAAGTTGGATTACATCATGGCAGGTTAAACCCATGACAACACACGTTAGATTACTCAAGTTGGATTACATCATGGCAGGTTAAACCCATGACAACACACGTTAGATTACTCAAGTTGGATTACATCATGGCAGGTTAAACCCATGACAACACACGTTAGATTACTCAAGTTGGATTACATCATGGCAGGTTAAACCCATGACAACACACGTTGGGTTACTCAAGTTGGATTACAGAAGGTGGATTACATCATGGCAGGTTAAACCCATGACAACACACGTTAGATAACTCAAGTTGGATTACACAAGTTGGATTACTCAAGTTAGATTACACAAGTTGGATTACATCATGGCAGGGTAAACCCATGACAACACAAGTTGGATTACTCAAGTTGGATTACATCATGGCAGGTTAAACCAATGACAACACACGTTGAGTTACTCAAGTTGGATTACATCATGGCAGGTTAAACCCATGACAACACACGTTAGATTACTCAAGTTGGATTACATCATGGCAGGTTAAACCCATGACAACACACGTTAGATTACTCAAGTTGGATTACACAAGTTGGATTACATCATGGTAGGTTAAACCCATGACAACACACGTTAGATTGCTCAAGTTGGATTACACAAGTTGGATTACATCATGGCAGGTTAAACCCATGACAACACACGTTAGATTACTCAAGTTAGATTAAACAAGATGGATTACATCATGGCAGGTTAAGCCAATGACAACACACGTAAGATTACACAAGTTGGATTACACAAGTTGGATTACTCAAGTTGGATTACATCATGGCAGGTTAAACCCATGACAACACACGTTAGATTGCTCAAGTTGGATTACACAAGTTGGATTACAT